AGTAGAATACATCCTAAATCTGTAGAACATTCAGAAGAAATTAAAATAGCAGGATTTTCAACCAGAAACGTGTTTATTAGTTTTTTTCTGGCTTAAAAAATTACCTGTGCTATGAAGTTTTATAAAAAAAAAAAAAATTGTTTTTAAAAAGTTTTTAGAAAAAAACTAATAGAAAAAACTGTTTTAAAAAGCTAATTAGAAATAAGGTAACAAGGAATAAAAGTGAATGCACCAAGTAAAATGTTCATGTTAAGAGTTCAGACTCTTTTTTTCTATGAGACCGTGTTTAATTATCTAACTTCTTAGGACCAGAAACTTAAGAGATTGAGTATTTTTTTGAAAAGCAGAAAATGCATTAAAAATATTTTTACATATATTTCTCTGCAATCATTTATAGGTTTATGTTCCTGCTATGAAAAAAGGTATAATGCTCTGCTTGTCGTGTTCCAGCCTCTGGTGCATTTTGGTGTCTTGGCAGCCTCAATTCATGTTTTGACATTCTTCCTTCAGTGTTAGGGTTTTAGTTCTCACTGTATTTTTGTTATGTTCTTTTATTCAAAGCTTCTTTATTTAAACTACTTTCCATTTCTATTTTTCTGTGGCATGACACATTCTAGAAATAAACCATTAAATCCTGGGTTTCTATTTAACAGAGGACTAAGTCACATATACAGTGCAAGGCTGTGCCAATGTGTGATGATTGTTGATAGGCGTGTGCTGTTAAGAGGACGAGATGATAGATATGCCATTTGTAGGTCTGTTGGGCCCAGTGGTATATTCAGGATTGATAGGCAACATGAGTATTTGTGTTAATTCAACTCTAATCCACACATCTYCTTGGACACTGAGCACAGCTTGTCCAGTGCAATTCACCTCTTCCTAGGTAATAATTTCTAACGTGGAAGCTGTTCCGAGCTTGTGCTTGACCTTTTCCTTCTTGTGCCTAGATACAATATAACCTTCCTTATATCATCACAATTGCATGCAATAATCAAGAGACRAGCACAATCATAGTTATGCAGCAGCAATTAAGATGGTTGCTCTTCTTTATTTTTCCCTTGAAGTTACCTAAAAATGTGTGTGCTTGTTCTGGTGTTTTTATTAAGCATTAAACTGAAAGTTCTGTGACAATATCTACTGTAACAAAAATTTTATTTACAGATAATACTGAATTGAGAACGTATCTCTGTGAAGGTGGAGTTAATAGCCAGTTGTTTCATGTGCACCACTATAGGATTCTCTGCACTGAATTCCATCTGCTATTTTCTCTCTCGGGCATTCGGTGTCCAGGGACCCTTTGCCAGCTCCTCAGAGACAGCCTTTGTGCTGAATAACCCGGTACTGGGAGTTCCCTGAAGCAACCACTGACAGAGTCTTAAAAAGTTGCTCTTACTTTCACGTATTAATGTGGTGTTCAGCCAGGCTGCAYGGAAGTAGCGGTGGTTGTCCCTTCACTGGAGCGTTTCCTGCCTCCCACAATCTCCCTGTTTTTCCTCAGCAGATCACAGCTGCAGTCGCCGTCTGATCAGGCAGCTGGCAGATAATACAGTTCTTAAACAGTGCTTCTATTTAGCCTAGTAATTTCAGACCATGGGAGCTGTATTTAAGCTGAGCAATAACTTTTCTTTGGCACATAACATAACTCCTTTATCATCACAACCTAGCTAGTCATTCTGCTACTTTGAATCTAAGAATTATACTGTAGACTGATTGCTTTCCAGCTACCCTGCTTGTCTGTATCTTTCTGCAGTATCTTAAATTGAAATTAGGTACCCTCATCCCTTCATCTTTTTTTTTAGAGTKTTTAGCCTGCATGGGGAAACACTGGTTATAGATTTTGCTTTCTGCCCCCTTTTGAATTAGAAGTGCTCTGAGACTTCTTTGCATTTCCTGTCTGAGAGTCCCCAGCTGCTGATTTATCTTCCCCTTTGCTTGAGGGTTTCAAGTTAGGATTTTGGCCCTAGAGGACATGTTTGTCCCAAACCACGCACTGTTCTAGACCTATTGGCTTTTCCACAGTCTTCAGATTACAAATTCTCTTATAACCACTTTAATTTTTTATGCCGGCAGCCTGATTTGATTTTCGTTCAGAAGGAGTCAATCCCTTCTATCTCGTTACATCTGTTCTTTAGTTAATGGATCTGGACACCCACTCCCTCTATTTTTGYAGCTGCACTCTGAGACTTTGCCTTGCTTGCGCTGTTAATCGCCGTGTGTGTTAGAGCAATTCAGGGAACAATGCCTACCACCATGTAGTAATGAACTTCCTACACAGTAGCCTAAATTTTATCTTGATTTCTTTCCTGCCTCCGTGTCACTAGTATCCACACGCGTGTTCCAGCTCTCACTGGGGAGCTTTTGGTGCCTGCYGGATGCAGAGGCAGCAGCAAAGCTGCTGTGCTGCCCCAGCTGAGAGCACAAGCTCGGCTGCCTGCGACCAATTATCCCAGTATTTACTCTTTTCCCTCTTTCTGGCAGAAATCAGTGTCCCTGAAGGAGGATATTCTCAATACAAGAGCGTATTTATCCACCCCTTGATTTTGAGAACCTACCTTAGATATAATATTTTCTCTTCATCTGACCACCACCTTCAAGAGCATTATTAAACTACTCCAGTTTCAAGAGGGAAGCACTAAAATGGCTAAAAAGCTGCAAGAAAATCCTATGGTGGAAGAGTAGCATTGATGCCTGCGTTCATACCTCTGCCTTTGAGTTCCTCCAGCTCAGCCATTTCTGGGCCTGGGACTGAGCAGTTTTGCTGTGTACGTTCCCTTCCAGCAGGACAGCGGGTCACGAGTCCTCCAGTACACTAGGCAGCCCACGGTATTTAAATGTTTGCATACCTGTGAGTACTTGGAGGCCACGTTAGTCATCTTTTCTTCTCGAATCGGCCTTAATCTCCTTGGATGTTTTTTCCTTGATATTAGTCTCTGGATTTGAGGATGCTGCTGCAGTGGCCTTTTCATATTTACAGCTGAGTTACTTCAGCAGTGTTATTCCCTTTACATAATGGCCCAATCTCATGGTACAAGCCAAGTGGCTTTTACAATGAAGATAATTTATAAATGGATTGGGCTCTATCTCCATTTAAATTCTCCATCTGCTTGTGCTTCTCATCTTGCATGTCTGCATAGCATTTTACTTCACTTAAGGTCAGGTTTTTGTTTATTATTGTTTGCTTTAAGTGGAGGTTGAATTCCTAAGCWGTATACTGTCCTGTAGCTTCAGTGTGTAAAGCCAGGAGCTATGGATATAGCCCCTTGTCGCCTGGCTTTACAGTACTGCCATTGAAACTAGCACAGCCTGGTATTTTAAAGCTATTATACCCTATTTTAAAAAGTAAAGTATAAATAATGCTTTGAAATATTTTAGTAATTAGAAATTATACACTAAGCRATTTATATTTTTTAAGAAAGTCTTTTGACTGGTAGGGTTTTTTCTTCATCAGCCAATAACTGCCTGAATTTCTAGAACTAGCTGTGTTTTAGCTTAGAGCGAGCCCTGTCAGCTTTTACTTAAGTTATGCCCCAAAGACCTGATTTGAAAATACTATTCAATTCATACCTAGGCTACCAAATTTGAAAGCAGACTAAAGCTATTTCAAGCATGAAAATAAGTAGGTGCATTTATATTTCCACTGCAGTCAAATTCTCTTTTATTGTTTAATTTCCCTCAATGTCTCAATTTTGGCAAAGTTCAGGTATTCATTGAGGTACATTATTTTGTCTCTAGAGGGCTTTTTAAACATAGTATTTACTAGTCTTTTTTTCATGCTGTGAAATAGTTGTCATCTTTTATGACCTTCTTTTCATACGTTGCAATTTAGATTCAAGATATTGGAACATCCTACCAACCGCTTTGGTAGCTATTAGCTKGGTTCCTTTTCTTTCATCCTCTGAAAATTGCTTGTTTTTCATTTTGCTTATTCTCCAAAATTCAATTCCTGAGATTTGATATAAATCACAGATAAGTAATGCTAGTTTTGGAGAGATTCTTTCATGTGGTGCTTTTCTGCACTGTGTTTATTGGTTCTGATTTTTGAGACATGCTGCTTTCAAGAGCCACTCTGGTGATTTATCTGTTTTTAAGATAACAGGCCTTCATCTTACTCCAGAATTTGTATTCTGATGGTTTGGATTGCTTTCTTCTGCTTGCTTCTGCTTACTATCATATGTACAAGRGTGAGCACACGTGTGCAAACACACAGACATAAGTCTGAGATGATTTTGGAACCATGTGAACCAGTACTTTCCTATGAAAAGTGCTAAAGGACAATATYCATCTATGTCTTCTTGTGGACTGTGCATTAAATATATTAAAAATGTATTTTSTGAAGTTGATCATAATCACTGATTTCATTTTTGGCTGAAGAGCCAAAACTAATTCAAGCAAAATTACGTCCAGGAATGATTGTGTAATGTTTCTACTTTGTAAATAAAATGCCTTTTGGAAATGTAGCTACTAAATAATAGTGTAGGGAAACACATGATCACAATTTTTGTTCTAAGACAGGTCTGAGAAAAGTTTTAATTACAGAAGAGCGATTTTAGAAGAATGTTCCCACTCTGCTTGTCTGCTRTTGTTACTTATGAAAATCTCTGCATGTGTAAACATGCTGTCAAATTCACTTATCTTAAAGACACTCAYTTTTGATACTGCATTAAATGTATGAAACACATTTTCATGCTTTTTACTAGCATCCTGTTAATGCACTGAAATATAAAACCTTATCTTAGATTTTTTCATATTCTTTTACTGCCTCTATGTATAAGGCAATTTAGAAAATACTCTTTTTGTGGTAGTCCTGAAACTGTTACAGATTGAAACAAAAGCTTATGTAGTGATTTGTACCAACTGTGAGGAAATCTTTTTGTAAATATCCAAAGAAAATATTTAAAAACATAAATAAGTTCCATAATTTCACTAAGGTTTAGATCTGTTGTATGTGTAGATGAACTGTGCATTAACTTTTATTCCTTTGTCTTTTTGGGGTTTTCCAGGCTCGGCGCAGAGARGTTTTTATCCAGGAACGATATGGAAGGTTTAATCTCAGTGACCCATTTCTGGCTCTTCAAAGAGACTTTGAGGCAGGTGCTGGTGATAAGGAAAAGAAACCCATCTGCATGAACCCTCTGTCCATTTTAGAAGCTGTTATGGCTCACTGCAGGAAAATGCAAGAAAGAATGTCAGCTCAGTTGGCTGCTGCTGAAAACAGACAAAAGAAGGTATCCTGCAACTGTTTTTTTCCCCCTTTGTCTTGCTCTTTTATGTGACTTCTTAAAAACTTGTATCTTTGTCTAACTTGATTGTCAACAGAAGTGCTAAAATGTTTTCATTTTCGGTTGTATATATGCTGAGGTGCTAGTTTTCTGGTGATATTTTGTCTGCATACCTCATTTTTCCCATTAATTTATCTCTACCTATAGAAGAAAAACAATTGGTAAGAGTCAATGGATTACAAAGGTGGGCAGCTCAATATAACCTACAGAGAAGCGTTATCATAGTATTTTCTTTTAATCCACCATTAATGCYTATATTTGTAGAGGATCTACAGTTGAACCCTCAAATAGTGAAAACTGAAAAAAAGTTTTGMTGTCATATGAGGAAACTGATTAATAACTCAGTAAAAATACTCCTTATAGTTACTCTTTATAACTCTTAAAATAATATATACTATTTCTGAGTATTTTGGGCTTGCTGCAAAGAAAAAAAATTTTGGAACAAGTATGTTGCACAAAAAAGCAGTCTGCTATACAAAATATAAAATGTTTTCATTTTGATAGTGGAGTATTGGCATACCACTGTGAACTAACTTATCTTTTTTTGGAACTCCACTTTCTGTACAGCAAAGTACATTTTAAATTCTCCTTGCTGCCCTAAAAATCTGTTTTAAGCACACCGCATGTTTTAACAGTTATCTTGATATAATGCATTGTACTCCAGACTTCTTTACAAAATTTTGTTGTGCATTTTTCTTTAATATTTTAGATTGCAAGCCATACAATCGGTATAGGAGAGCTGAGGGAGGGGCTTCAAAGAAAAAAGGGGAGGAACRGTAATATAAGAGTCTTATTTAGACCAATTTTTGTTGCATAATTAGAAAATAATTGCTTGCTAGTCTTTGAATCACTCAAGTGGGTGTAACTTGGATTGAATGTTTTCAGCAGCTCAGAAATAGAATTTTGAAAACGGTTTTATGTTTAGAAAAGCACAAAGGCAATTACGTTGGAATAAACATAATTTTTGCTAGTAATTTCTCTAAGGGAACTAAATACCCTCACAAAATTATTGGCTGTAAATGAGCAAATCTTTTTTTTCTTAGTTCTGTTAATTTTCATGTAAACATTTGCAATCCATTTGACTTAAGAAAAACATGTATACCCCATCCAAACAAATCAAATACTGTACTGTATCTACTGATATWTATGGTGTGTATGTATATATATATATAATGTGCATGATATCTAGTTCTTAAAACAATGATTAAGCTGCTAATTAATAGCCTATAATGAACTGTTCTACTTACCCAGAACAATTTTTTTGAAACTGTATAATATTTAATGTTTTCACATCTTATTTAGATAAGAGAATCGAAGTTTTGTGGGGGGAGGGATTGTCCAGAGTTCTACTAAATTATTTTATCTAATGTTGACTTTGGGGGGGGCGGGGAGTGGAATTAATGTAATTCTGCTATTACATCTCTTTTTCTCCTTCAAGTGCTTGTCTACGTGTGCACTTACTGTGGATGTTTTCTAACCAGAACTGATACTGAAGGTGTTTTTGCTTCATCATTATTTAGATGCTTCTTGGCTCTGGTTTATTACCGAAGTGTTTATCCACAAGCCTGCATCTACAAAAAAAGATGCACTTGCTTTTTTGTTTCCCAGAAGAAAACTAGGYTTATTTTTAATCATAATTTTAAGAAATAATTTCATCTTTACTTTGCATCTTGATTCTTATTCTGAGTTATGCTTCACCTCTGTTGTTCTGCATAATTACTTTTTGGGTATGTGGTTACAGATTACCTTCTTTTTCTCTCACTATTTGCATTAATACCATATACAAACCATCCACTGAGTGTTTTACTCTCCCTTAGTTTCATAGTTTTCTTCCTCCTCTCCATCTCTCAAACCTTTCTGTGAAAGAGGTAATGAAGGTGTGTTTTGGGGCATTTCTATATGGTTAATTCTTAATAACAAAAAAAATTTAAGCCCAGGCAAATGTGACCTAAACGCAGAGCCAGCTGCACATGCTCCTTCCAAGAGTGGTGCTTCCCTCTCTAAATGTGTCTTCTTGTTTGGAATTGCCTCACTGTCTAAATTTTAGACCAAGTGATGAAGTCTGTGAAACAGCTGTGTTTATTTCCTCTGGATATTATTGGACTCAAGCAGGCTAATATTGAACGCGTTTTCCTGGGGCTTACTAAAATAGTGATCCTTATAGCATTCTTTGAATAAAACCATAATCATAAGGAATAAATCATAACAATGTAAAGGAATGCAGGAAAAAACAAAAGGTCTGCAGAAATGACTGTCAGCTCTAGGTTACCTTATACCAAATACCTAATCCAGATTCCATCTGCTTTGTATTAAGTCTTCATCCTTTTCCATTTCTTTGAAAGCCTCTTTCCTGGAGCTGCTGACCAATTCATTTTGAGGTTTCCTGAGAATTCAAAGCCAGGTCATCAAAATGACAGTTTTTGACCTGTCAAGTGTTTGTGGAGAATATTGGGATGCGGGCTCAAGGAAAGAAATGTGAAATTCCTATGGATGTAATTTAGTCTAAACTTCTGCTTGAATCTGACCATCACTAGCAGGCTATAAGGTCCCCTCTCAGTTTGTCTAGCTGAGCACTGAAATTCTCCAGGAACAGTGATATAACAGTCTTTCTGCATTACTCTTTTTGTGAAGAATTTTTTTCGAATGCCCAGTCTGAATCTCTTAAGCTTCGGTTTATCACTTGTACCCTATATTATGGGACCCCAGCAGACATTATCATGAAGAATTCGGCTCTGTCATCTTTGTCAGGGGCCTTCAAGTAGAATAGGCTGCTGTTAGATCATCCCTTAGTCTCTCTTTCACCAAACCAAGCCAGCCAGGGTCCCTCAAACCTTCTCTCACAAGGCATGTTCTCTCACTGATCTTTCAAGGACCTCAGTAGCCCTTTGCTGTACCCCRTAATTTTTTTCCATATCCCTCTATACTCTTTCCCCAAATCCTTGGATAAATTTCCAGATGTTATGGTTCTGTGTATGCATTTCACAAATGCAGTACATTTCACAAAAATCGGGTCATAGCTAGTCTATAAACTCATAAATAATTAAAGCTAGCTCCAAACTTGTCAACTGAAGGATAAAATGTAGTGTAAATACTCAGAATCTTTTTCTCCTACTCAGGATGCTACAGCCAGAAAGAAAAGGTGGGGTGGGAATAGCAAAGGAGAAAATACACAATGGGAAACTGACGYTCTTCTTGTCAATTTGAAATTAAAAACAGAACTGCTAGTATTAGGGATTCTCAATTTATATGCTTATAAATAAGACAGTGTAAGAAAATGGTAAGACAGTTATACCAGGTATATTCTCTTGTTAAAATCTACTTGTAATTATTTAAAAATATTACAAGATCACTAGAGTTATTTTAGAAAGCATCCAAAAGCAAAATGGACTGAATGAAGTGAAATGGTCTATTGTAATTTAAGATGGAGCAAAATGGTCTATTGTAATTTATGATATCTAACAGGAGTAATAAAGTACAGATAAATTTGATTAAAGCATTTTCAGTATAATATTACTGCACTTTCAAGCAATCAAATTACATAGAATTCGCACAGTTCTTGTATTCTTTTTTCCCCCTCACAGTTGCTTGCTGTCTGTGTTTGTCACTGCAAATTGATTCTGTGAAATGAGAGAGATATGGAAATCCTAGATAAAAACCCACAATTTTTCTGCTTATGAAGAATTGTGAAAGGGATCTTTCCTAAACATACTTTAATTCTAATAGCATATTAATTAAATTTGCAATTGTACGGTCATTAAGCTAACTGGAGAGATATTGTTGCTGTATTGGTCATTTTCCAATGACTGATAATGCATTTTATTTTTTATATTTTTAAGAATAATCTTCTCACTATTTCTAGTAAGGGGTGAACTTGGCTGTGTGAACTGAATTGCTCAGTGGTGTGTTGGGCTACTGTGGCATTGCAGAAGCAGAGATGACATTTACAATGCAGTTATGTCTTGCTATAGTGATTTCTTCCTTTTAACTTATTGACTTGCATGGTAATGGTGCAATTTCAGATAGAAATTTTGCTATCATCATGATCTGCTTCAAGACAATGTTGCTGTCACCCATTTATCCTTCTTTTTCTGCATTAGCTTTATGWAAACAGAAGAGAAACTTAGAGTAATATAAGTAGAAATGCTAGGAGGTTGTAACTTGCATCCCTGCAATCCTGCAGGATTTTTGGCTTGTTCTCTCCATGAAAGACTGTTTCCTTCCCTTCCTTTTTCAACATTTTCTTGTGTTTGAATTCTACTTACCCCATGGGAAAAAATTATCTTGGGCGTAATGAGATGTAACAGGTGGGATTTGTTTCTCTTCTAACTGCAGATTATCTCCTCCTTGTACTTGCCACTTGATAGAATGAATTGCATTTCTATTGTGTGGTATAATTGGAGAGTAACTAAACTATTATTTTAAAATGGCATTTATATTAGCCTTAGATTACATGCAGTTTAGTGTAAAATGAATTGTAGATACATCTACAGTGACATGAAAAAATATTTACAACGCTAAGTTTGTCTTTTGGAGAGGACAGGGAATGCTCACTGTTGTTCTGAATGCTGTTACAGAAACTATTAGATTGTAATGGTTGTTTTTTGTTTCTGCACCAAGACATTTTAAACACTGACTTAGAGAAGAAAAATTCCATATCCTATTACCGATCCCCTAAGCCATCTTGTTCTTCACAGTTTACAGCAAATATATATGCTACACTACATTGTTTTAAACTCTGCAATTAGTATCACTTTGCCATCTGTAATTCTTCCTCCTGCTATAAAATGCTGTAAATGCTTCGCTGAATGCACTGCGTTTATTGTAGTGAATGCATTTATTCCAAATAAGCCCTTACTTACAAAGGCCCCTACAAAGAGCTGTGTGCTCTTTCCTACAGCTCTCTTCAGATGATTTTTTTTTTCTGTTGTGAAATTTTCTTGCGTCATAGAAGCAAGAAAGTTCCCTGTTGCAGCTAAAATTAAATCCTCATCTTTTTGAGCACTTTTTATAGGTATCTGAAAGTATTTTTTCAGAATAGTAATAATATCAATTTTGGGGGAGTCTCTATGTTGTTAGTGGAGAAAAGCAGAAATTCTACGTAAAGTCTCTGAATTGCTCTTCACAGCTGCCCATTTCCTTCTCTTGCTTTTATAGGCTTATAGCCACTTAACATTTATGAACACTTACCATAAAATGAATCACTTCTCTGGGTCAGAAAGGTTCCTTTTAGGCATGCTCTCAAAGGTTAAAATAGCAAAGTCATGTTAATACTATGTCATTTTGAAAGTTACCAATTTATTAATGAAAATTWATATATACACTTTCTTACAGTTGGAGGTGGAAAAATCTCAGTTACAGAGCCTTGAGCTGGAACACAAAAAGCTCTCTGCTCGTCTTGAAGAAGAACGTGGCAAGAATAAACACGTAGTATTGATGCTGGTGAAAGAATGCAAGCAGTTGTCTGGCCGAATTGTAGAGGAAGCCCAGAAACTGGAAGAAGTCATGTCCAAATTTGAAGAGGAAAAGAAAAAGGCTAGTGAATTGGAAGAGTCTCTTGCAGCTGAGAAACAAAGGAGCACCCAAATGGAAGCTCAGATGGAGAAACAGCTGTCCGAGTTTGACACAGAGAGAGAGCAGTTGCGYGCCAAACTTAACAGAGAGGAAGCGCACACCAGTGACCTCAGAGAAGAGAGAGACAAAATGATAAAGATGATTGAGCAGTTAAAGAAGGAAAATGAGAGTAAAGCCAATCTTTCTCTTCCTTGTAAAAATAAAGATCGGAGTTTGGTGTCTGTTTCTGTCGAAACAGAAGAGCCAAGTTCAAGAACTGTTGCCTGCCAAACAGATCCTATAGCAATGGACGGTAGCACTGAAAACGTTAAGAAATTGCCTTTGACTGTATCTGTAAAGCCTGCTACAGCGACTCCACTGCTGTCTGGCAGTACGAAACCAAATGTGTGCCCTAACGCAGCGCTTGTGAAACCTGCCATCGACAGGCAGTCCTCGTGCAGTGAACTTGTCCCTCCCACAACGTCCGTTCAAACTCAGAGTCAAAATAAAACTGAGGAAAATGGACCAAGCACAGGCTTATCACCTGATTTACCCAGTAGCACTGCCCCTTTTTCAAATAACGCTTCCCCTTGCACCCCTTCAACACCAACTATGGCAACTCAGAATTACCCATTAGCTTCATCTATGCACAGCCTGCATTCCCCATCTGCCACCACTGCGGCACAGCCAGGCCTAAACCCGCGAATCCAAGCAGCTAGGTTTAGATTTCAAACCAATGCTAATGATCAAGACCAAAATGGAAACACAACCCAGAGCCCTCCTTCGAGGGATGTATCGCCCACGAGTCGCGACAACCTCGTTGCCAAGCAGGTAGCTCGGAACACGGTTACCCAAGTCCTTTCCAGATTTACAGGCCCTCAGAGCGGTGCTCCTGTGCGACCTGGGATGTCGCATTCGATGGAGGTTGGCACATACCCCCCCGTCGGCAGGACGGGCTTAAAGACTCCCAGCGTATCAAGAATTGATAGAGGCAATCCTCCACCTATTCCTCCTAAAAAACCAGGCCTTTCGCAGACTCCTTCACCACCGCACCCACAGCTTAAAGTTTTAATGGATAGTAGCCGATCCCCAAACACAAGCGTAAAAAATGACAACAAATCCGCGACCTCGCCCCTTTCAAGTTCACCACAAGGAATCAGGGTAATAAATGAGGAAATTATTTCTAAGTCCTCACCTCAGCTGCCACCAAAACCTGCTATAGATTTATCTGTGGCACCTGCAGGCTGTGCCATACCAGCCGTAGCCACGTCTCAGGTGGGTGCCTGGCCTTCCCACTTCCCTGGACTGAACCAACCTGCATGTTCAGAAAATTCCTTTGTCATTCCCACCACCATTGCCTGTAGCTCCTCCATAAACCCTGTTAGTGCTTCATCCTGTAGACCATGTGATTCAGACAGCCTCCTGGTAACAGCATCAGGTAAAGGGATTGATATGCTACAAACTTTCTCCCTATAAAAATATTTTGCTTTTCCTATGTATCTCTCCATTGCCTTTTTTTTCTTTTTTGAAACTTTTTATCTGTTTATTGCTTTCTCTTAAAATAATTTATTTTCATAGAAGCTGAAGTTTCCCTTTGTGTATTTTCCACATATCAGGGGTATGGGAATTCTTTTGCACAGTTAAGCAATGTTGTAAATTCTTTATTAGTTTGTTACCTTTATGTCATGTCAGCTTCAGGGTAACTTCTAAATTAACAAAGGTTCTGCTGTTGGATGCCAGAATGGAATTATAATATCCAAAAGGATGTAGGATTTTTCTAATATGCAACAAATTATTAGGAAAGTCAGCTGCAAAGTGAATACATTACAGGTATTTTAGTCTTTAGTCTTTTAGTCTTAGTCTTATTATAGTTTTACTGGCAAGAGGCTGACATGCACAGAAGCCATCAGCTTGAATTAGGCAGTATATATCAGTTATGTTAACTAGATGATCTTTGATAATCATTAAGGCAGTTTTTCCATTATTCTTTTTTAAAAAATAACAACATTGTAAATCTTAAAGTTTTAGGTCCTACCAGTTTCCCTTCATGCATAYACCCTCATGGTTTAAGTCAGTACTTCTAAGTATGACTTTTCTTTAGGAGCACAGTTATTAGCCTTTTAAGTAGGGCTCTTCCACCAAACAGTAAATTTTTGTTTCCCGTGAAATTCATTACAGTTCTCAGAGGCAATCTACAAAAGTAACATTTTTGTCAAAAGCTCATTTTTTGTTGTGGTTTTTAACTAGTGATGTTTTGCATGCTCCAGTTGACATTCTTAACTCAGGCTTTCTCTCCTTTCGCTTGATATTTAAAGGAGTAGAAACAGTTTGGATCATCTGAACTCCTTATAATCCTTACTGTGAACACTTGGCACTGCTGTACTTTTTAAGCAGCACAGCTTTTTTGAAGTTTTGCAAATGGAAAACATATCTCATAAATTGAAGTATGCAGAGAAAGAGAGCTTAAACTCTAGTGGGTGGTCTGCTGGTTTATGTTGTTAGTACAGAGATGTTATTTTAATATTCCTCCATTACTGTCCTATATACTTGGGCAGAAAGAATAAACTTTCATGCTTTAGTGCTTTACCTGCATTATTCTGATAACATACAGGAATTGGTCTTTAACTCAAACTTTTATTTATATTTACTATTATTCTTTAATTATTAATTGTATTTAATTGTTCCTGGGAACTTAATCTGTTTTCCTCATATGTTCTTATGAATTTCACTGGATGCATTTTGAGTACCAGAGTACTCAGTACTCATGTAACACAAGACTGCATTGCTATATTTTTTGCTTAGAAAATAAAGGGTTTTATCTTAGAAAAGACTAGCTAAACCAAATAACAGTTTTCCCTAACGTAATATGGCCAGTAATGCCTGAATTCCTGTGACTTATTCACAGTTGTGCCTTTTCCTTTTTTTTTTTTTTTTTGAATGTGACCTTTCTTGAGGTAAAAACTAATATATTACAATACAACCAAAATCTAAATCGTGTATCTGCAGTTTCATGCCTTATGAAATAAATTCAGTTAGTTTTATTAGTATTCTAGTTGGATTTCATCTGATTTTTTTCCTTAGAATGTTTTCAATGAGTATTTCAATGTCTCTTTTCATTAAGATTTCACTATGCTTTGTTTCATTTATATTTAATTGTATGGTAAGTAGTGAGCTTCAATCAGAATTTGTTAATCCTTTTCAAAAACAGTGCACAGAAAATTAACACATTAAAAAGACATTGAAAGAATCATGAATTTTTCTGATTTTTTGGATTGTCAATAAATTCATATTTCTGTGACTGTGGAGTCAGAAGAGTTGATAGTGGCCTAATCACTACTGTATCCCTTTTATTAATTTCAAATAAGTTTGCTAGTTAGGTCAGATTGCTTGAAGAACATTTTGATAGTGATGACATACTCTATAGGGAATATTTAGGCTCTGGATGCAGCAAGTATTGTAAGAAAATTTAAAATCAGAATGCAGGTTCAGTTATACATCCTGTTAAAATAATGAGATGGTACTTTCTTTTAGATATAAGGCAGAGTACTGTGTATTGCTTTTTTCATTCCTACTAAGAAAAGGCACCAGCTTTTGTCATTAATGTTAAACAGACTGCATGTAAAGAAATTACAATGGACATTTATGGTCCGATTCAAAATCTGTGACAGTGTTCTCATTAACTTCAGCAGTCTTTGAACTGGTGCCAAAGAGCTCCTGCTCTGTTTGGATTCCTGCGTCTCCATGTCTGTAAGAGTTCAAAATGGAAATGTTTCTAGGCAGATGGATTTTCATACCCCTGGGACTTCTGCTTTCACTTTCTTCTTGGTTTTGCGCTTTTTATGTCACTTTTCAGTGAAGCTTTCTTTTCTTTTTTTTTTCCCTTTGGTTCACTTCTGTAACGATTGATTTATCCTTTCTGTACAATTGGCTTGGAAGAGAAAAGTGGGAGGGCGAGGGGCTGATCTGGGCTCTGAAATTAACCATCTCACATTCTGAAGCTGATGCCAGAAGCTGTTTTTGTCTGTCCTTCTGCCCTTCATCACTGCATGTCCTACAAGCTTTCACAGAGGCTTCACATTTCCTAACTTTTTGCATCTGATATCATGTACTTCATGGGTATTTTCTAATGTGACTATATATTTTTTGTGGATGAATACAGCTTTACTATGTTGCTTTATATTGATAACAGTAGCTAAATGTACATTTATATCATTATCTGGTTTCTGTTTCTTATTCCATAGAAGGATTTCATTCATAATGTAGTATAATGAATCTCATCAGCGGATTGCAGCGATGCCTTTTCCTCTCTAAGAATGTCATGAGAATTAAGAAACCATGAAACTACGTACCACAGATATCCCCCTTTCTTTCTTTTTGTGTTCATTTTTGATTTCTCTACTAAAGATCTTTAAAAAAAAAAAGAAAAAGAAAAAGCATTATTTGCAGTGAGAAGTGAACCAATAAATGCTATTTCACAGAATGGTTGAGGTTGGAAGAGACCCCCAGAGATCATCTAGTCCAACCTGCCTGCACACGCAGGGTCACCTAGAGCACGTGGCACAGGGTGGCATCCAGGTGGGGTTTGAAAACCTCCAGAGAAGGAGACTCCACAGCCTCTCCAGGCAGCCTGTTCCACTGCTCTGTCACTCTCTTCTCAAGTTGTTCCTCATATGGAGATGAAACTTTCTGTGTTTCARTTTCTACCCATTGCCCCTGTTCTGTCCCTGGCCACCACTGAGAAGAGTTGGCCCCATCCTCCCTACATTCTCCCCTCAGATATTTGTRCATATTGATAAGATCCCCTCCCAATATTCAGGTTAAACAGGCCCAGCTTGTTTAGTCTTTCCTCATACAATAGATATTCCAGTCTGCCTTACAAAAAAAGTGWTATTCAGCTTTGTAGTTAAGTGTCAGGTTTCCCAAATGCCCCCAAATAATTCAGTTACTAATTAGATGAATTTCTAAAATAGAGCAATGAACTTGAACAAAGTTCAAGGGCCTATGCTGTAGAGCATAACATCAACAATATCCACTGTCCCTTAGCTAGTGACAAGACAGTAAAGAACACATCAAGTACGATTTAAAAAAGCAATAACAGCTGCAGCACAGTTAATTTCAAAATATTGAAATATGAAAGTATTGAAAAACAAATATTATTAAATGTACTATTTCATAAAAGAATGAAATATAAAAAATTTTCAGAAGGCAACTTCATAATTGGAGTTATATAGAGATAGATGGAGTGAGTTTTTTCTTCCATTTAAAATTAAATTTAGAAACCAATTTCATAGCTATAGTGATGCCATCGCGTAAGTATCTACATAAGCAAACTAGAAAGTAATAAATTTATTTTCTTATATATAGCTATATGCARTATATTCTTCTGTAGATCTTCACCGTGATTAAAATTTGTCTAGATAATGTGAAGTTCACAAGCACATTATTTCTGTGGAATTCTAGGGGGAACCATGTTTATTCTGTTTAACAGATCATGTTTAATTCTGTTTCCAAAAAGCTGAGCAGATCATGGCAGCTTGGTAGAGTCTCCGCCTTGTGCTTTTCTAATTCAAAGTATTGAAATTTGGAAAACATTTGACTAGCTTGATGGACCTGGAAGTAATCGTTCTGCAGCTCTTCAGTGTTAGGTGTTACGGAACTACTGTGCAAGCTGGTTTAACTGGCTTTGCACTGTCAGATTTCAGCCTCATGTAAGGGTGTATATGTGCCCATGCAAATAATTGCTTAGTAAAGAAAAGAATAATGTGTATTTTCCAAAGGTAATAGTGAAAATAAGAAAGGGTCTTTTTCCTATTTTCTCTTGCAGTCCTTGATCAAAGAAGAATGCACAAAATCTTCTATGCAATATGCAGCAAACTTCATATTCTTAACAAACTCCCTACTAAAGCTCATAAGTAATGTTATAATGGAACATTTAACCAATATAATGCCTAAACTTTCAAAGGTTTGAGTTGAATATTGCCTTTTAACTGGGTCACTTGAAAGCTTTCACTAGTAGTTTTTATATAACCAGTTATTCATTCACCCTGGGGTGTTTTATAAAATATAGGTATTGCTGAGTAAAATGAACATTGCTTAAGACACAGCGCAACAGAAAGTACATTCATTTCTTGTACATAATACAAAGTACATAATTACTTTTACATTTTTCTGCAAAAGGCACTTAAAAAGTTACTAAGAGCTCTCCATGCTATTTGTGTATATAAAACTGGGTGAAATATAAATACTGAAGTTTGGGTTAAGACTGTGAAGGATAGAATTTCATATGAAAATAAATAGACTTTTGGAAACCTTTCCTTAAATACTTTAAAAAACTTTCCAAGCAAATCAATAATTAAATTAAAACTTTGACTTGTATAATATACTGAGTATAGTTTTTGATTTTTAGTAGTATAAATTTTCGGAGACTTCCAGCTGCTACTACAGGTCCTAAAGAGTTTTGTATTGACCTGTTGTAATGAAATACTGTTTGTTGGCACTAGCACTTGTCATTCCTGTGTGCAGTTCTTATTCTTTAGGTTGCTTTCAGCTGTATAGACAAAGCAGCATCACAAAACCTGGGCTAAACTAACCAACCCTGTCATTTTGWAGGTCCTGTTTTAAAAGAAATTGCAGAGCCTAATTCATTTGTGTGCCTTCCTTCTAACTTCTATTGCTTTAACTCRCAGGCTGGTCTTCCTCCCTAACCCCTTTGTTAACAAGTGGTGGTCCTGTCCCCCTGGGTGGCAGGCCCACCCTTCTTCACCAAGCTGCTGCCCAGGGAAATGTCACTTTATTATCAATGCTGCTTAATGAAGAAGGACTGGATATTAATTACTCTTGTGAAGATGGCTATTCTGCCTTGTATTCTGCTGCTATGAATGGACATACAGGTAAGTGATTCCCAGTTTTGTTGTTACAGTATTCATGTGAAGTAGTGAAAGCTTATTTCATGTTTTAAATAATATTAAATTAGGTTTATTGCATTTTATTTTAATAATGTGTGTCTGAAACTGAGATATATATTTTTACAACAAAAGCATGCTTTTAGCGATACTTTTGAAGATAAAATTTTAGAAGACCAAAACATTTCCCTTGTAGTAAAATCCTACAGAAACTCCTGTTATAATTCTCCACTGCCTTCTTGTAGCAAACCACCAAATATCATAATTTTCTCTGGCAGTCCTAAGATCTTTTTCTAGCAAAGGCAAAAGCCTGGAAGAAAGAACCTCAGTGTGCCCTGGAGGGAGTAGGTGGGAAAGCACAAGTCGTCAGCAGCGTCTTGAGCTTTTGTAGCAGCAAAGGAAATGATGAAAATGATTTCAGAGTAATGTGTAACTCGGGAAATGACATGAACTAGCTTTATTTTTGAACCACGTGACACAGCCTTAGTTTGTCCTCCAAGCTCTTCTGAGGTGGTGAACTTCTTTTCTCTTTCCTCCCCCACTGCCTTAATCCCCAGGTTTGAGGGCAAATCATCTCTGAGGGTTTCARCTGTCAGGCTTTTCATGGACTGTAAGGATTTCATGGATTCATTTAGAAAATTAGGCACATGGAKATTTTACTTATTTATTTCATCGATATCAACTCTGAGAAGTGATTTTCAGATTGTTGCAARGCTCTTTAACTGCAAGCAAAACATTTAACTCTAGCATTTTATTACTATTGATGTAGAAACCTCCTAGAGATACTTACCTAAATAACYATTCTGCTGTTTTAGATGTTGAAGTCTGCCACTGATGTCAATTCCAATGACAAAAATTGCATTAATTGTAGTAAACTCAACATTCTATTTCATAAGAAGAAATGAAACATGTTGCCTTGAAAGTCACTGCTTTTAAGAGAACTTTATGGTTTTGTTTAGCAGTGTAACTCTTAGGGACATAGTGAGAAATCCTTGATTGTCTTTTTAAGTTAGGTTCTCAAATCCATAATAAGACTGATTATATATTTCTTTTCTGACATATTTAGGGTTAATTTTACTACCAGACATCAGGAAAAGAGGAYTTTTTCCCTGTGTTGAATGGTGTATTTTGTCTTTGCCTGCTGTGTGCCATGGTTTAGTTCCTGGTAACATCTGGGCCTTTTCATCTGACAGATTCTGTGYGGCTGCCCAGAACTTTAAAATACAGGAAAAGTCCTTTATCTATTTTATTTTCTTCTTCTGAGAGTTAGTAGTTTTGCAACTTTTTTTCTCTGAAGCATTTTGGCCCTAAGTTTGTTATGCTATCTGAGAAGCTTTTTCCTTTTCCTGCTTTCCCTACCCCCATTAAAGAATGGATGTTCTGTAGGTTCCTCTAAACCTAAGTGATTTAAGTCCATTTATCATCAGTGGTGTTTGTGGGAGGCTGAACTTGGCCCAGTTCTTCTGTTCTCATCTTGTATTCCTGTATGTTTCCAAGCAAATGCTCTGATTTTCAATTACAGTTACTAAGCAGCTCTTACTTGACAGCAAAGGCAATTTGGTTTCTAGTTTTATTGTCAGAATTCCAAATAACAGCAGCACTTGAGAGACATAGGAAAACACAGTCATACTAACAAACACACATTTGCATCCTGTAATTGTTTGGTATCTCGTATTTTTACAGATAAAGAATATATTAGCATTATCTTAGCTTTGCGTGTCTATTTACAGCTGACAGAATATGAAAAATACTTAGTTTTTCAAACAAAATTACATGGCATTGCCAGCAAGTAAATGGATTACAAAAACTCTAAAAAAATTCCACATTCTGATGTCCTTTAGATACATTATATGAAAACTGGGAGTAGCCTGACAGTTGGATTTATAGTATTTTTTTGAAGAGCGAAAGGTTTTTGTGTTTAATATGTAATCCTTTGTTTGGTACTTGTATTTAATTCCAAAATTAAGTGATTTTGAGAAGGAAAAGAATGATTTAACTGTACTGTATTTTTTCTATTTCTTTAACTATGCTATATATTTTTTCATAGCATTGAGTATTTTCAGGTTTTTTTTCTTCCTCTTCTTTCTTTCTGTGGCTGACTTTAATATGGAAGCTTAGCCCAGGGGTTGATAGCATTTCATTTCACTTCATTTATTGAGATCATTCGCTRTCTGGAGTAAATGGCTAAATATATTTGGAAATTTTGGAGACTMCCCTTGTATCCTAAAAATCCTATAAATCGGCTAACCAGATTTTCTGATTACACTTGGGAAAGAGGTGGATAAAAGAAAAGAGCAGCTCTACACTCCCTGAGAGCCAGCGCAGTGAGTAGCTCCCTCCACACACAAGCATGGTGTTGCAGGGAGCCTGGGGTGGGTGCAAAGCGAATATTCCCCACCCACACTCCCTGAATTACACCCTTTAGATTTGCAGGTTGATGGGGAGAGGCAGAGTCCTCCGTAAGCAGTGTTGTGGCAGCAGCTGTTGCGTGCTGAAAGCCCGGTCTGTAGAGAAAAATGAATGTTGCACAAGAAAAGGGAACACTCAAGAGCCCCTTTCCTAGAGAGTTTTGGTTGCAAGGCTATAACCTTCCTGTTCATAAATGGTCGTCTTTTGAGAGCTGCAGCTGGTGGCTTTTTCTATCACGCGAACCCCATAGCAGCTTCTTTGTTTCTTGCACACACACTGTAGCCTGTCCTGGAGGTCTGAGAGGGAGAACTTCCCCATAAAAATATTCACTAAATACTTCCTTTGTGTTTGCCTCGCCGCTGGGAAACTGTGGATTCTGTGTTTTAGCCACTAGATTGGGGTAGCTGAGCAGATTTTATTGTCAAGCCTTGTTGATTTGATCCATTTGAGCCATTGGCAGAGCAGGAGCTACGTCGAACTACTGTGCATTAGAAGGGTTTCCCACTTGACAGTATGTACATTAGCTCATTGAGCTAGTGTATGTGTGTGTCTGTGTTGCTGGTAATCCTGACCAGCCTCTGCTGGGTTCAGGATGTCAGGTAGGAATCTTTATTCTGCAACATGGTGGTATTCTATGGTATTCTGCAACAAAAAGATTGAAAAGATAATATGATTTAAATGCTATTGTCTTGCAAGTAGAAACAGTCAATAAAGTTGTTAAAAGAGAGGATGAGATGAAGTGTGGGTAGCTTGTCCTTACAAAAACCTTAAAAAATAGGTGTTGTTTTAAGTGAGGTTACTTATTTAAGAATTTTAATTTACAATAGCAGTTTGAMAATCCTACATTTGAATGTTAAATACCTCAGCTCCACAACATCTGCAGTATTATTTGAAAGATTTTTAATGGGAGCAAGTATGTTAGATTAGTCAGATTTCTGAATGATTTGAAATACACGTTTCTGACCTCTAGAGATAAGCTTCACTGACAAAGCCAAGCACCAGGTTGGAAAAGAAAGCACTGAACTTGCCCAGAGAGTTGGTCAGGAGTTTATAATTGGGGTTCTAGCTGAGCCTATTTTTAGAGTAATAGCTTTAACACTACATTAGGTAGTGTTAAGAAGACATTATTATTTTGATCTAGAAGCAGTTGTAATGTGGAGCAGACAGAGCCTTTTCTTCAAAGTTATTTGGGTTAAATGATACTCCAATCTGTTGTGGATGAAAAGCAATCTAATTACTATGCAATTAATTATCTTAAGTTAATTTAGCTGTAGAATGGTGGAATCAGGCTGATTTTATTTTTAGCATGTTATTTTGGAAACATTTTGACCGGGAATGGTTTGGGTTTATTCTCTGCAGTTCGTAAGCCTAGCGGTCGTGTTGGTCATTGCAGTCCCCTGTGAGGGTGCTCAGGCAGGAGCAGCCAGGCTCCTGTACATGTTGCCTATAGATTGTGAGCATTGCCCTGTGGCTCAGCATATGTCATGTGGCTGCTAGTGGGACTGTCATTGGGAGCCCCTGGATAATTCAAGTTCCCAGCTTTGGAAATAGATACCTTAGTCAGTAAGGGGGTGGCCATCAATGGAGACATGAGTGGATCCCTACAGGGACGCAGGCCCCTTTCCCAAAGAGTGGTGATGATCCCAGATATTCATTCTTGGCTCACCTGCCAGCCTGGGGCTTGCAACATACCCAGTGGTATGCGGTGCCTGCCGTCAAAAAGATGGGCTGCTGTTGCTTCAAGATGATCTCTATGTTTATTCTCAATTTGTAGATTGTGTGAGATTGCTGCTGACTGCAGAAGCACAAGTTGATGCTGCTGATAAAAATGGCTWTACACCCTTGTGTTCAGCAGTTGCTCAGGGACATGTCAAGTAAGTAGTCTTCAGATTTTACCCATTGGCAGTTATTTGTTATTTTACTTTCTCTTTGAATTGCATACCTTAGTGTTACGTTCTGTGAATTTCTATAAACGCATTTGTCATATATTGAAAGCAACTATTGAATGTCATATTCATAAGCAATTCAGGTGGCTTCTGATTGTTTTGTTTAAAATTGCAGCTGTTAAGTTTGTTGAACATGTGTACTGTTTGTAACCACAGTGTGGCATTGGTCTCCRTGGCAGGCTTGTCTTCACATTTCTTGATTTTCCTCATGTCCTCAGACAATACAGGATTAACATGGGGAGGAAGCAAGAAATATTACTTTTATTATTTTTTAAGTATAGGGAACTATGATTTATTGTACAGAGATACATGAGCATTCACCCAGCAAAATTTGTTCCCATCCTCTCATGATCCACTTGGAAGACTTCAAGCTTGTCAACTAGGGTACACCTTCTACTGTTGAACCAGAGGTAGCAGATCTCCAGAAAGTGCTTTGAGCACCAAAATATATATAGAGTTAAATGTTTCAATGTTTTACATAAAATCTGTAAAATTTAGCTATGATTTAACAACATATACAGAAATAGTCTTCATATTCCCTCACTAACATAAATAYAACTTGCGGGGAGGGGAGCTGTTCAGTTAAATGGGGAGATAGTTCTTTCTCTGACCTACCCTCACAACACTTTTCTATATATAGGCTGCTTTGCTGTGCTGTTGCAGACTTAATTCTTTTCCCTTTGAGTTACTTACGTAATCTGATATCCCTAAATAATTTTCTTACGTTCATGTTTTTATGTACTAAATGTGAACTGAATTTCAAGGTAAGTGYGGAATAAAAGCAGGTCATCACAGACAGCAAGGGTTTCAGTAATGCTCTAGGCTCTTTGACTCATTGATCACTTAAAATTTGGGGCTCAGAAAAATTCTGTTATGGTCAAAATTTGGGGTAATGGTATTAGGGCAATGTGCATTTTGGTTTATCTGGTTGCACAGTGTGTGTTACAAAAGGCTGTACATCTACAGCAATAAGAATTTGGGGCTAATGGCAATTATGAATTGCACAGTATTTGTCTGTGATGGGTTTGCTAAGTCCCTTGTGGCAGATGTCTATTAACCTTATTCTTGAACTATGACAGTGCTGCTGTTCCTGCCATAGTTACAGAGTCGGAAAAAAACCCTGATTGTTGCTTGGTGTTATTCAGTAATCCCGCCCCTTCAGAAAGTGCTGTCATAAGAAMCTTCCAAATAATTTCACCTATGGCTCAATTCAGCCCAACCTTGCTGGATGGAAAGGCAGTGTAGTAGTTGGGGAATCATTCAGTTCCCTGGAGAGCCCCTGGAGAGACATTCAATAAAGTCTTTTTGAAGCTTTTATCTGCAGAGCTGGGATTAGAGAGGCTTCTTCAGATTCTCATTAGACTGGCTACATTTTCAGAACCTATAAGAATGTGACAATACAATGCCTTGAGTACAGTACAAAATGACAAAATAGGTATTTTTAACGTAACAAACTTGAAGCTTAACTGTTTTGGGGAAGTGTCATTTTCAGAAGATCTACTTTAGGCATTCAAATTATTATTTTCTCTTTTTACACACTTCTAAAACTAGTCATTTTATCTCAAACTTGATTGACTTTCTGACTAAAAAAAATACCAAAATGAATGTTTGTCCGTTTTTGATTTCCCTTAGGGTGAGTTTTTTTTTCCATAAGTAATTTCTTATTTACTTTTTTTCTTCTTTTTTTTTGAAGTACTTTGCCATCCCCTTTCATCCAGTGTGGTCCCCTAGTGAGTAATTATACAGCACTGCACAGTTGCTGTCAGGCTTTTTGTTGTTGTTGTTGATATCCTTCCATTTTCAAATGGACCGATAAAAGCAGAGCCAGAAAGATGTGATCCTTGCTTTGAAGCRTAGTTCTGACCTGGGGAGGAAATAGATCTGAATTAAGAGTTTTCTAAAGTCTTGAGAGGGAAGGTAAAAGGGGGCAAAGCTGGAATGAGAATCAGGAAGTCAGCTGGACCTACTGCTGCTGGCTCGTGAGGAAGAGTAGGACCTTGGACCTAAGTGTTGGTCCCTGATGGGTCGCCAGCTCTCTTCAAGCTTTGGTGCCCATTCTCTTCTATCCTCTTTACTTCAGTAACTGGAACCACGSCACCCCAAACCATCCTGCAGGGGCAGCAGCAGAGCTTCTGTTCAGGCACCTGACACTGGTAGTGCCATAGCTGTTATGTTGCCCCTGCCAACTTCCTTCCCTGTGCAATTGTCCTTCTTGCTSGTACCTAAGAGGTCAGGTAGGCTTTTTTTCTCTAGCAGTTGTCATGAAAGGTTTTTATCAGCCTGGTGAAATTAAATGTTTTAAATTCACAGTTTTTGAATGCATCTATGGCAGTTTAAGGTTTATGTTTGAATTAACCTAATTATAAAGTTATACCCATATGTATGAAAKAGATAAAATCACAGGTAGATCTATAAAATTCGTACAACATAAAAACATAAATACTGAAATGTTGTAAAGAGTTTTAAATGTCAAATAGAAGGTAATTTTATTACCTTATCACTTTTTTTTAGGTGTGCAGAATTATTAATTATGTATCAGGCTGATGTTAACCATGCTGCTGAAAGAGGACAGACACCTTTGTACTTGGCCTGTAAACATGGAAATAATGATTGTGTTAAGCTGTTGTTGGAAGGTGGAGCAGATCGAACAGTAAAAACCAGYGTAAGTTAAAACAGTTTGTAGAGTACCCTGTTTAGTACTGAATAACTATGAAAACCTAGGAAATGTTTAATGTATTTATTTAAAGTTTTGTTTAAAGCTGTGATACTTCAGTTTGAAATTAGTGTCTTGTTCTTTCATCATGCTTTATTGTTTACTCTTTCAAACTGTATATTTTCTCTAAAATCTCCTAAATTGTTATTATCCTCTTATTTTACATATTTCAGATTAGCCTGCGATTGACTGCATGTCTTTTGTCAGCACAATGCATGAGAAAGAGAACTGCTCTCTTTGACTTACTCTCAGGTGCAGATAGGAATTTTGCTTCCACCTTTTCTGTAGGGCTGCATCAGTGCCATCCCAGGGGCAGGGCGGAAATTTCTCCAGAATTTCCCAGCCCGTATTGTAATGTGGCAAAAAGAAATAGTGCAGGAGAAGGGAAAAGAAGGGAGGACCGTCTCCAAATCAAAAATTACATATTGCTCTTTCCAGGGGACTTCCTGAAGCTCATTTCTGAAGAATTTGAAGTAAACATAACAATAAATGTCCGGTGTAGGCAGTCCAGAAACACGACACAAAAATAATAACTTCACAATACATTCTATTATTATGCTGGTTTTTTTTCTTTATTCCTTAATTGTTGTTTTTTAGAAAGCAAATATATTTAACTTGAATTGAGAGAAAGTTATGTTAAAAACATGGAAAGATCTGACTGGTAAATTGAGTTGTGCCACATGAAACAAATTATTATTAGCATCATAGTAGTTGGATACATGAGAAGGAAACAGTCTTTTAACTGTATAAAGCCCTTAGATCACYTRGTTTCCTCTAAAAAGTTTAAAGTCKGCCATATCCTTGGAGAAAAATGTAAAATTAGCGTGCTRCATTCCTTTCCTCCTCTCATTTCCCTTCTTCTGCCCTACACACATAAAAGGAACTCTGTTTTCCTGAAGAATTATTATGTGAACGTTGCCTATCTTTTTAATTTCCAAATGAAGCATTCCGTATGGCTGCAGTGGTGAGATAATTTCTGTGAACACTTTCCTGTGTGTTTGGTGGAAGTGTGCTCCCTGCTTTTGTTTTATTAGGATGGCTGGACACCAATTCATGCAGCAGTTGATTCTGGTAACGTTGACAGTCTCAAGCTCCTTATGTACTATGGAGAGCCAAGCAGTGGGACCTCTTTCAATGATACAGAGCCTAACTTAGACTACTTTGATTTGGGGAGCAGAGAAGAGAGCTACAACAGTAAAGCGAAGCCTGTTATATCTGCGGATCTCATCAACCATGCTGACAAAGAGGGCTGGACTGCTGCCCATATAGCAGCATCAAAAGGCTTTAAGGTCAGTCTATATGAAGCACCAGTAACCTGATAGGATTTAGGAAAGATAAATCATTTTTTTTTCTCTTTTTAACTTTGAAGAATTAAAATTTAGATGTTGAGTCTAAGTTCCTCTAGTTTGTGGTCCCACTTAAATTTAACAGACAATGAGGTACTTCCAATGGGTCATTTACCCCAGAAGCTGTGCACCCAGTGTGCACAGAATGAATCATCTTCTATACATGGCCATTTCCTTGGGGTGGGGATGAATAAACAGAAAAGAAGTGAGTATTGAAATCTCTTGAAATCTAGAGATTCAGGTTTTCAAAGTAAAATTGAAGTGAATTTCACCCTGAATGCCTCTTTGTTGGTTTCCCTGTATTTAATATAGATGGATATAGTCTCCTCTGATAATTGCAGAAMATGTAACTATGAATAATTTTTTTCTGACAGAGGGGGGAGAAGGAATATAGTAGTTAGATATCTGTGAGTGGGATACATCATTTAATTTCTTGTTTGGGCAGGCTTTTTAGTAGACATTTTAAGCTTTTTACCCTTCTCTGTAAATACCATGAGGAAAGACCTGGCAGGGCTTACTCATTGTATACAGGAAGGTTTCCTGATATGGAATATTACTTGAAGGGTTTGACATCAGAAGCTTCACATTTCTAACTGGGATCGTTGAAAGGTTTTTTTGTTTGTTTGTTTTATGACAGCTCCAAGTCAGCTCTTACTGTGAGACTGTTGCATAGAGAGAGGATAATGGGAGGATGCTAAACAGATGAAAGTTAATTTTAGGAAAATATAACCCAAGACTTTAGAAAGTGGCTGTTGTTTAAACAGCTAATTCAATATCTATTGTTATGTTTGCTTTTTTCAGATAAACTTGCTATGATGAATGTATAATAGCCAAAATTTTAAGAATTGGTTTATTATATTCTGTTTTACAAGGTACCAGCCACTATTTACTCATTGTTTTGCGTTATGAACCAAGCCAGTGGTTTTTTTACCAGTGCTTTTTAGGCAGGTACAGGCACTTTCTACAGATAACCTTCATTCATCTCACTTTAGATGGGAGTTTAAGGTAGTTGTCATTGCTTGCAAAATCCTAAATAGTTTGGAACATGTAGCTTCCTGCTGCAATAATAAAATCCTCCATAACTTTGAAGCAGGGTTTTATTTATTATCTAAGAGGGGTTTGCTTAGGTATTTTCTGCGAAGGTACGGAGACTAGGACTATTGACATTTGCCTTTCATTAATAACTCTCATTTTTGAGTTTATGAGCTTCTATCTAGTCATTTGTTTAATAAAGTCTGTACTGAGGGCTGAGGACATGCTCTTAGATGGTGGCCAGCAGTCACATTCCTTGTTGTGAAGTTGTGGTTGTTTGAAGTCATTGTTGATTAAATGTATTTATTGAGTCAARAGAGATGTCTGGGATAGTAAGAAGCTGAAAAATAATAATTAAAAAAAAAGTGGAGTAGGTATCTTCAAATACTGCTAGCACTTCATTCTCCAGTCATATATCTCTGCTTTCCCTAGCACAGTCACTGATGGCAGTTGCCTGTAACTTATAACCGTTTGCAGCATAATCTTCCAAGACTGACAGATGCCATTTTTCACAGATCATTTGTGCTATTGATCACATCTTGGCTGCTCTTCCATGGGCCTACATGGAATCTTATTCTGCTGGAGAACTAAGAACACATTCCTTTATCCTTTCCCACTTCCCCATATTACTTTCCCATTTTCAATCTCATAGTTCAGTGTCCTCCCTTTCTTATTGTATTCCTTTGACAGTTTTAATTTACTAACTTGACCAAAAAAAAGTGTGTGTGTTTTTTTTTTTTTTTTTTAATTCTGGCAGTGTTAGTGAGTTTACTTTTGAAAAGTTCTGACAAGTGCTGAAGCCTCTTTATGATAAAATCACATCTCTTGAAAATAGTTTAAATTAATGTTAGGTTTGTGAATTTTGTCAAGTCCTCCAATACCCTGACACAAGTCTTTGTTAAAACAGATAACAGCAGCCAAACTTTAAGAAGCCACTGTTCTGAATCCGAATTTTAATACCTGCTTCTCTGTGTTTTTCTGCTAAGATTAACCCCAAAGGTTAATAATACAGTATTAACTGTTATTGTTTGTAGTGGTGATTTTTTTATGTGGATATTTATTCTTGGATGTCTGAGGATGATGCTGCTGTCATGTAGGACACATGAATCCTTGCTGTTTGGATGAACATGAGCAATCAGAAATTAATCAGTCTTCTGATCACAAAGGAATCAACATTTGAAATGTAGCTTTCTGAGGGGTTGATTTRCTAGCCTGGGAGGAACTGTGTAATTGATCTTTTTTAAATTACTTTTTTTTTTTTTTTTGTTCTTACCCTGTTACCAATCCAAAATTGGCATCCTCTAAATATTTGTGCTCTGAATTTAGTATAAAACGATTGTTATTTCACTACTATGTTACTGCTATTGCAGAAATACAGATTTACCTGCCAGAGCAGCACCATGTAAAGTGATTTTAGAGGGATCATTGTTCTTTTGCAATGTACCACTCGCAGGCCAAGCATAAGGGAGACTCCTTTTACTAATGCTTGGTGTATTGTTAAGTGAAACTGGTTGTGGAGGTTGCATTTGGAATAGATCCATTAATTTATCTTAATTAAGCTTTAAAAATGCCTTTTTAATATTGTTTGAACATTGAAGCAAAGATTTTCAAAACAATGTTTAGTTTTGTAAACTAATGGCAGATGTTAAGTGACTAAGCTCATTTCATCTCATCAGCACTTGATATTTCAAAACTGTAGACGCCGCTGCCTGTGTTCCACTTACTCAAAATCTTGGTTTGAGAATTTYACATCTACTGTAAAATATATTTAATCCTTGTTCTCACCCCTGTAAGAAACATAACTTGAATACATGTAACAGAAATTCTGTGAGCTAATGTGTGGGTAAGAATTTCAGTTAGGAGCCTGAAAATGTATTGGTAGAGCAGACAGACAAGCAGATAATACCAGTTCTTACCTTTGCAGAACTGCCTGGAAATCCTTTGTAGCCATGGTGGACTAGAGGCTGAAAGAAAAGATAAGTGTAATCGAACACTGCATGATGTTGCTACTGATGATTGCAAACATCTCCTAGAAAACTTAAGTAAGTAATACTTGCTGTCGTCACTATATACAAATGTTTTTAATAAAGAACTCGTGGGACACATGAGAAGTACTAAAAAAGGTAGCTGACATTTTTTGTTAGTACAAAATAAGTTTTGTTTCCTAAGTTGTTGTTATTCCCCATTTTGCATATTTTTGGAAGCCATTAAATGACTTATATATTTATATTTTTAAATAATTTGAAAGGTGGTATGTATTGTACACATCTGCAAACATCCATAGTAGGTATTTTTTGAAAGCTGTTACTCTCTTATATAGAATAATAGAATCCTTAAGGTTGGAAGGGACCTCTAGAGATCATCTAGTCCAACCCCACTGCACACCCAGGATCACCTAGACCATGTGGCACAGGGTGGCATCCAAGTGGATTTTGAACATCTCCACAGAAGGAGACTCCACAGCCTCCTTGGGCAGCCTGTTCAGAGCTCTGTCACCCTCACTGTTAAGAAATTTTTCCTATCTTCCTTCCTGCAGAAAAGTCACTAGATGGATAAATACTGTGTTTCTTCAAATTAAGAARATCATATCTTAACCAGGCATGTCCGAACCTGCTTTAAGTAGTTTTATTTGTTGCTTGGTTTTTGTTGAGGGGACTGTTTGTTCTGTTGTTCAAAATGAATCTCAGAGAAAACATCGAGCTATTCCATTTTTTCCAGCATCAGTACTTCTGCCAGAAGACCAGTCTTCTGCCAGAACTTGTCTTCTTCCTTTTTCTGTGTAAGTTTGGCATAAGGAATACCTCAGTATTTCCAGGTAGGATGTCAAAATTGAACAGAGCTGACTGACCTCTTTCCAGGTCTTGGCAGTATATTTTTGAGGTTAGAAATTTGTCTGGGCACCWGCAAGTTCTACATTTCCTATTCCTATGCATAGGCAGAAGTATTGTCTTTGTATAAATATGAATGATATCAGAAGAGCTTCATTGCCCTGTATCAGATGAAAATGTGACTTCTAAGTTCAAAAAGCAAAGCTAAGATAATGTTGGAGTCTTCCAGAATAAGCTGATAGTGTACTTATCTTGTATTTCATAACTARTATCTGAAATGTATTATCCTTGGAGTACAGTTAGTCATTTTCATTTTTCAATCAGTCATTTAAATGATCCGTACAGATTTCAATAAGCTTCTSTGGAATTGTATTCCATTTTTCAAAGAGCAAGCTGTAAAATAATTTAATTAAATCCATTTTCTAGTATGTGTATGTAGCTTCCCTGTTTCTTCTTTTAACATGTTCTCAGTTTATTCTACAGCACAGCAAATTGAATGTACACTTCCAAGAGAATTTTGTGATTTAGATTATTATTTAAAGATATTTCTTTAGGCTTACTGCCTTCTTGACATGCATACTGGAGCTAAAAGCTTCCTTTCTGTATTGATGTTTAAAAATATGCATAACTACAATAAACTGAACGCTAAGAAAACATCTTAGCCCTCTCTCTTTTAATTTATAAGAAAATAGTTTTTAAGGAGGAAATCAATTATTTAAGTTTTGTCTTCTTACTATTTATTAGGTAAATCAYTTTTAAAATGTAATAGTTAGTACTTGGTTGTATGATGTTGACTGTGCTATGCTTTTATGCTGACTGTTTTATACTAGGAATTTTGTAATACCTTTCCTTCACAATATTAAGTCTTATCGGCCTTAAATAGAGTTTTGATTGAGTTTGTAGTTTTTCTTATTTTACCTTTTTATTTTTTAACAGATGCCCTTAACTTACCTGTAAGGATTTCAGTCAGTGGCACTGAACCACCCCATTGTGGTACAGAGGAATTCGATATAGAAAACACAATATGTGCTTTAAATATACGCAAGCAGACATCGTGGGATGATTTTTCAAAAGCAGTGTGTCAGGCAGTGACAACCCATTTTCAGGCAATCACTGCTGATGGATGGAGGAGCCTAGAAGACGTGTCATTTAATAGTGCTGCAGAATCCAGCATTGGCCTGAGTGCAAGCAGTATATTATCTGTCAAACTAGGTATCTACATTGATTTTCTAAAGAAAGGCAAAACTCATCAGGGTTTTCATGAATTTCTGAAAACTTATTCCACAGTTTTAAGTATATTTTAAGCTACTGGTGATAGTTGCCAGATCTGTTATGTCATGACTACATTCATTTAATAAATCATTTTTATACTCAAAGTTACTTTAAGTAGTACTTACTGTAAAGGTACTCCTATACAAAAATAGTAAGTACAAAAAGCTTGGAGGCTTCTGGATCTTTTAAACCTTACAGTAAGAAAGATACTACTTAGAACATTACCTGCATGACAGTGTTATTTAGTTTCAGCTGTGTAGGTGGTTTAATGGATTATGCATTTTAATTTCATCTCCGGGCTGGAGGTCCTAGTTAATTAGTCCTTTACTCAATTCAGCACTCCAGAGAAGAGAACTGTATTACTTGTGGAACAGGACCAGTAAAACAGAAAATTAAATCTGTACAGTCAATCTTGACTGAGTTTCGTAAGCACAGATTGAGCAGAACAACTCAAGGTTTATGTAGCTTCACTTACTAAGGTAAAACAGAAATTTCTTTATAAAGAATCTAAATAATGAAAAAGATGCCTGAAATTGGGAGCTGCTAGCAGTTGTATACAATACAACTTCGTGTGCTTCTTCTTCCAACAAAAAAMCAAAATGCTATTCTTGTTTCACTGGGTGTATTTTCTTGTTTTACCTGAAGTGTAATATGAGTGTCTTACACTTAAATAGTCTTTGCAAGCCTGCCTATTGAACTTCAGTCTTTATCTAGAAGAAAATATCAGTATTATCAGTCTGTACAGTGTGATTTAGTAAGTAGGATTAATTTATTTGTCAAATAGGCATATACATGCAATCTTTGCAGGCAACCAAATAGACTTTGAGTATGCAACACTTTATATATAAACACAATGAATATCTTTATTTATTTTAAACAGGAAACATTTCATGGTCAACGGGCCAGGTTTTTTCCCAACCACCATGGGACTTTTTGAAGAGGAACAGAGCTGAGCATATCACAGTGTTTTTGTTGGGTAATTTTCAATTTGTAATATTCAGTTTTGGACAATAAAACATTTCATTAAATGTATAATTTGAGAATTATTTGCTGCTGTCTTTGTTCATGAGTGTTGTTTGGGCTTCATATACATATATGGTTATTAAAATTATTTAAATTTAAAAAATTCTTTAAAATTTAGAAAATACATTGGCATATAAAAACCTAATACTCTGTAATTATATAATAATAACCATTTTACTTATGTCATAGATCTGGGATACAGCTATATGGTTAAATCTAGATCATAGATCCATGGTTACAGCCATAAATCTGTGTTGCTAGATGAATGCCTTTAATTTCTTCTCCATTTGGATTTGCATTACCTTAATTTTTATGAGGTTACTGTAGATACTGTATAAAAAGCGTGTGCCTATAATAAATGCATATAAACAGGATGATTTTTTAAARTTATTTGATTATCTCTTTAAAAAGGACCTCAAGAAGGCTGTCTAAATAGTGTGACATATGCATCTATGATCCATCTTCAGACACTTCAGAATTACCTCCGCCTTGTAAGTACTTAGCTTGCCTCCCTATGCTATTCATATGTGAAACATTTTTTTAAGAGATGATTAAAAATATTGATCATCTGCTCTATGAAAGAATGTCAAGATTAAAAAAAAAAAATAAAAGGGATGAAAGATACTATTTTAACATAAAGTTCCCTCTTATCCTTCCCCCACCAAATTTAGTCACACAAGGCATTTCTTCTTTAAATAGTTGCCATCTGAGCTACTTAGCAAAATATATTAGAAGCTCTCTGATTATTTCTWTCCAAAGTTATTTCAGTTTTTGCTGGAAATGCAGACCTAGAATAAGTCATTAATATAAGCAGTTGAGACCTGATTTTTGTGGTCAGCTTTGTATATAAATCTGTGACCCTTAGAAGTTATTTAATATCTGCAAATGGAAATAAAATGGAGTAACATGATTTAATTAAGTTTTCACAGCTTATTTGTTTTATCATAGGTAGTCAAATGAGAACTATTTTAAAATCTGCATAAATTATGCTCTATCCTTTGATAGTATTTTATGYTATTAAAATTATAGCTGTGTGCTGTAGGTTTCTGGTATATTCAAAATTCTGCTATTGCACAGTGATTTGACCGTATTCTGTGAAGGCTTATTCATATGCATTGAATTTTTATAGCTGAAGTAATCTTACAGTTAAGATAGTGCAATCCATTTTTATTCTACATATGGGTAACTTACTTAAGTTGAAAGCTAAGGTGAAAATAATGTTAAGCCCTGAGCTTAACACTAACTTACACTAAGGTCATTCTGATTTACATAGTCTAATTCCAAATTCAGGATATATATGTCTGTGACTCTTAAGTGCATCCCTGCTACCTGATCKTTTTCAATATCTTCAATATCTTTCAACGAAAGAATCTTTTCCTGTAGTTTTATAAATTAGGWTCTTAATTGAAAATATTTCAAAGTTGTAGTATACAAAAGCTACCTATTTTGATTATAATATATAAGATTATCAGTAGTAAGGCTTATCAACTTTGACCCCGATCAAGTGCTCTTTGTCACRTCTGGATAAAAACATATCTAGGTCTTTAATTTTCAAGCCTAATTCATTGTCTGTCTTTAGGTTGAACAATACCGCAATGTTATCTTCCATGGGCCAGAAGGAAGTTTGCAAGACTACATAGCACAGCAGATAGCGACCTGCATGAAGGTATTAACACAGCCTAGATGTGTTAATGTGCATGTAAATGTAATGTACAATGTAAATGGAATGCACAAGTAGAGTACAGTAGTTTGAAAACTGAAGTGTGTACCTTTTCAGTAAATCCGCTAATTTTCAACACAGCAAAAACAAGTGGCTGCAGGATCCTCATGTGAAATAGTTAAAGTTGAAGTGGATGCTGGTTTCTCCAAGGAGCAGCTTGCAGAATTGTTCATCAGTAGTGGTAAGATGATTTCAACAGGACTACTTTTGGTAACTTCTGGCCTATTTGTAATGGTAAAAACAAAAGAAATATGTTTAAAATTTTACACAGTGTGTGGCATGTTTTAACAGAACCTATCGTTTTTCAAGTACTTAAGGAATAATGGTAACAGTCTGAGCTGAAATAGAACTAAATGTGATAATTCATTAGGGAGTTCTCTGTGTGGTTGATGCCGTTTATGTAAAACAAATAGTTCATAATACATTTTCTTCTGTCTCGTTCCTTGTTCCCTTTGTTTGTGAGTCTTTAACTGGTTGCAGAAGTTCAGATCTGATTCAGAAAAGAAAATTTATTTTTACTTGATTGTAGCTGTTGTTATAAAAAAAAAACTTTTGAAAAGGTGAATTATAATTATGACCTCTTTGGGAAGCTAAGAAGCAATGAAAAAGTATATGAGAGGTGGACCACTTGCTTTCAATATTTATTTAGTAAATACTTATGTATGRCTCTGAGACCAGTTGTTGGCACAGCAGACAAATTTGACAGACAAGCGTTACTATATGTGTACTGTGACACATCGGGCAAAGGGCAGAGTTGCATTTCTGTTACTGTAAAGTGAATAGTTTTCACAGATAGGAGTAGTCACATGTGAGCTGAAGTCCTCTGATGTGGGTGCTCCACAATTAAATACTCTGAGAGTGGTCAGGAGACTGTACCTTTGAAAGGTCAGGGTGGATATTAGATAACAATGAAAAAATGACAGAAGGCAGAATAGCCAAAAAGGAATGACAAGAACAGGCAGAATAAGTTAGGAATCAGCAGAATGAGGAGAAATGGATCAGACAAAAATAGGAAGAAGAGCAATAATAAAGAAGAGAATAATGCTACAGGTGAGAGGCAAAACAAAATTTTATCTAGAAGGCTTTTTCATATGCAGATTGTATCATATTCTTGCCTGTACCTCATGCATTTGAACTCTTTTTCTTTTTTAGCCATAGTAGTAATCCTGTTGTGTACATATAGTAATAATATAGAAGCTTGAAGAGAAATACTTCTTTCTTCTTAGTATTTTTTAGATTGATTTTGGCTTACGTGTAGTTTTGCAATTTGAAAGCAGTTCTCAGCTGTAGAGCTAATTTTGCCCTTTTGCAGATTTATGTTATTTGTTCCATCCCTATTTTATAAGGGTTAATTTGGGAGGGGATTGGGGAAGGTTGGAAGGGAGGTCAATGAGAAACAAAACCAAAGAGTATAATTTGAATATAATCTTGGTAGCATTCAACCTTTGTCTGGGGAAAAAATACCAGACCTTTCTCTTTTATTATTTTGACTTCTTTCAGATCTCTAGGTTTTAAACCTTTCTCTTCATGCAATAAGTCATTCATCTTAACAATAATATTAATAACAGTTATTTTTAGGAGTTGTTATTATGCTTCACTTTTTGTGAAGGCTGGGCTTTAGGCTCTTGAAACTGGTAAATCTGTTGACACGGGCCCATGTGCTGCAGTGTTGAAACTCTGAGAGAGGCAGAGCTTTGAGATGATCTGCCCTTCCCATTTCTTCTTCCTCAGTATTGACAGACTAGAAATATCAAAAGGACTTTGAATGCCCTAAAGCAAATGGGTTTTATTTGAACAAGCAAAATGTTATGCAGTGTTCAATTCTGTCTGTTAGCTTACTTCCTGATGTTATTTTATTCCATGATAATTTTTTTTTCCAGAAAATCCTGCTAACAGTTTGAAGAATAGCATATATCAGTGATTATTTTTATTTGGCATTTGAGTGTCAYCACATTACTGGAAAAGAAGAAGAGAACATTAGTCAGAATTCAACTACGCTTTGGTTTTTGGCCTGAAGGCCAGAAAACCATTCATGATCCTTTTTATTTACTAGCTTCTGTGCCTCCAGGATTGCTGCTTCTTTTCAAGGCTTGAATCTATCAGCAACATACTGCTCTTAAAAGTTTTTGCTTGCTGTACAGCAGTGTTGCTGGTTGAGTCTCATTTTTCTGCCTTCTGTTTTCCCCATTGTCTGGCTGCATTTTCAGCCCCAGGAGAGTGTTCTCTCCCTCTCTGAATGGTTCCATCAGACCAAGAGGACCATCAGACCAGTCCTATTTAGGACTTGGCAAACAAATACCCATCCTTTCTGTTACTCAACTATATTTACTTAGTAAAACACAACAGTAATACTTATGAAACTGCACATAAATAAATAACATTCTTCAGCTAGTGTTGCTGTAGATAGAGTTGTTGCAAAAATGAGAGAGCCTCTAATCCCAGGTGGTCTCCAGTGGAATTCAGTGAGCCAGAACTTTAAGGAATTTTCATTTGGAAAAATCCTTAGTGCACAGCTTCAGAAAAGGCTTGATACTATTTTTTCTTTTTGTCTTCTGAGACTTTTCATGCAATCTCACATTCCTCTCAAAGAGTCTTCAAAGCTCTCCATGCCCTCTTAGCTTCCAGAAAAGCCTCCCTTGGCTTTGCCTTCCTCCTCAGTAGAATTGAGAGATCTGAAGCCTTTTACTTGATCACTGAGAGTTCCAGCACCAGTGTATCCAGTTCAGGCAAAATCTAAAACTATTAAAAGATGGATCTCCATCCCCCTCACCTTCTAGCACAAATGCCAAGCACAACGCAAGCTATTGCCAAGCTTTAAAGTGTGAAGAAACTTCTATTTTCTGCTAGGGCTCAATCATTTACTTTTCTCCTTCATGTAAACATTRAAGAGTATTAATGATTTAAGAGTATTACAGAAAATGATAAGAAATACAAATAGAGATACTTTTAATCTGCTATCTTTTCTACTGTGTTTATTTTCAGCATGTATTTCCAGCCTTTGTATATGTGAAGAGCAATAGGCATTTATTTTTTTTAATAATAGCTTTCACTTCTTGTTTTCTTACTGTACAAAATAATATTCTTTCAATTGTTTGATTTTATGTTTCTACTTTTAGATGTATTTTGTGGTCTGTCTGCTTCTGTAAAAATGTTAAAAAGGCAAAAATAGTATTTCATTCTCAAGCAGTGGAAAAATATATTTACTTGACTAAAAATGCATTTTCCTAAAGAGACATTAATGTGTTTTTATTGTTGTTTTTTAAATATATTTCAGCCTGTCTGGTCCCTGTTAAACAGCCTACAGTAAGCAAGACAACCATTGTGATTTTAGAAAATCTGGAGAGAGCTTCTTTATCTGAATTACTAGGAGATTTTCTGGCACCTCTTGAGAATCGTAGTTCAGAAAGTCCTTGCACTATTCAAAGAGGTATTTAAAGAATTTGGGATAAAGAATATTTTACTGAATACAAACTGTATTATAATACATACCAAATGGAGAACTTAAAGGAGAAAATTTTCATTAATTAAATATCTATGAATTATTGCAAACCTTGTTGTTTTCAGCCACATATAGCATCATTTCAAGGTTATTTATTTATTTTTCTTTTTCAATTAATTTCAATTAATTAATTTCAATTTCAATATTTCTTGCCTTTATGTAGGATCATTTGGAAACACTGAGTATTTAAGTAAAATGTTTTATGGTTCATTTTTAGCAAATGGAGTTTCTGATGCCTTTTACTTTCATGAGAACTGCTTTTTACTGGGGACAATTGCAAAGTGTCATCTTCATGGCTCTGACCTGCTTGTTCAGCAACATTTCCGTTGGGTCCAGCTTCGGTGGGATGGGGAACCAATGCGTGGCTTGCTTCAGAGGTTTTTAAGAAGAAAAGTTATAAACAAGGTAAGAAAAAATAGAATTGGTTTCAGTATTTTGGCCATCATGAGGTCTACAAAATAGGTACAGTGATAATGTCAAAAGTTGAGCGGATGATTAAGCTCCAGTTCCAGCTGTTCAGAAAATATTCTTTCATTTTTCTGCTGGAAAAAAAAAAAAAAGTGAGAATACTAACTTTGTAAAAAATGTGGGCAAAAACAGAATTGTGGAAGTTTTAAAGTTATTTGGAAGAAGGCAATTCCATTGTGATAGCAGCTATTGCAGCCAGGCAGCGTTGGACATTGGGAGAGGGAATTTAATCAGAACAGCTGCCAAAGAAGATAATCTGGGCAGCAGCGTTTTGGACAGACTTAAAGGAAATTGCTTTAGGAGAAGGAAGAACTGTCAGGATCAAGGAGGCCTTGTCAGGAACAAGAGCATTACTCAGGTTACTTTTTTTCAAATGCATAACTATTTGACTTTCAGTGTTTTTTTATTTTCTTCTGTAAAATGCTTTTTTACTTTTCTCCATGAGCTATAAATATTTAGTAAGCAGAAATCATAATGAGTGTTTGTATGGTTTAGAGTGTGAATGGCTTCCAGAAGCCTGACGAAGGATGGGAGTGGCARTTGTGGACAGGCCAGGAAAGGGGACAGTCGTTCAGGGTCCAGTTTCTTGCAGCTACCACCCTAGTGCTAGAAGGAGATACAGGCCAGAAGACAGTGCAACAAAAGCCTGCAGCASAATTCCCATTCATCCTCTTGAGGAGAAAGGTTGCATTCTCCAACCTCAATTGCAGAATATCTAAAGTGCAGTTGTTTGTACTTGTTTGTGCTTGTTTGTAAAAACAGGAACACTTTGATCCGAGATCTTGCAGCATCAGGGAGAAGGACTATCTTCAGTTGAACACAGGGCAATGGGCAGTAGGAGAAGCAGTGGCAACTTGACTTGATCAAAGAACAAGGTTGGGTCAAACTTATTTTGCCAAACTACCGTGGCTGCCTGAAGCTGCAGGACTGTGTTAGCAGTTGCCATTTTCAGGTTATTTAATTTATCCTAAAAGCAGTCCTCAGTCTCATAGATCAGAGCTTGAGAATTAAGAAGGTTTCTACACCAGACCTGAAGCAAGTAGAGTTTGGGTAATCATCTCATKGAGTTTTTCTGCTCTCTAAAGCTCATAGTGGCTATTTAGAGAGAAATGCCATGTGTCTCTTCCTTTATCTTCCCTAGTTAAGTAATGAATACAAGTGTCTGGGGTGTTAGTACGTTTTACATTTTTTTTTTTTTTTTTATAAATGCATGTGCCGTATGTAATCTCCAATGCCAGTTGGTGTGGGCCTGAAAATAGTAGATTATCATGCTAAAAATAGAAGATTAATCTCAGGCAAAATAAAACTACATTTATCATTTGAACAATCAGCTATTTCAAAGATCCTTGCTCRTTCAGTCTAATACCTTGTTTGTCCTTACCATGTTTTCAAATTAAAAAGATTTTTTTAGTTATTTTAGAAATTTATTTAGAATTTTTATATTTAGGAAGACAGTTTAAATCATTTTCTACAGCAAAATTAAACTGCTTGTAGACTTTGTGTTAACGGTTCAAGAAACTCRGACTTCAGTGCTGGCAAATACTGTCGCTAGTGCATATTTTAATGCCTCCTTTAATTCAGACTGTTCAGAGGATAATCCTAGGATTAGACTGAAGACTTAATTTAGATTTGGATGAGATAGAAGATCTTTTTGGTCAAATAATTTTCCTTTAACAAGCCATGCCAAAAAATGTAAATATTAGAGGACTGCATCTTTCTGTTATTGMTACCAAATGTAAAATCAATACAAGAATCTTTTGAGAATGTGCCTAGGCTGGGTATTCCTGTTCRATAAGCTAACGTGTTCTTTTATATGTCCTATTTATAGATACATATACATTGCATAGGATATGGGAGATGCCTTTGCAATTCTAGTCTTAAACAGCACAGAAAAAATACCAGTACTGCCCAATGTGTCTCCGTTCCTCACAAACAAATAGAAGCATTTCAGTTGAAAATTTAGTTAATTATTTTACTTGTTGTCAGCTGCAGCTTGTGCACAGAGAATTTGTTCCACGGTGCTTTTGTGTGTTGTAATTAAAGATTCAGAAAGTTTAAAAACTTTTTAGTTCTAGGCTGTAGAGGAGCAAACCTGCATCTCCTAGCATGGAAAAAGTTACGCTTAAAAGAATCCCTGAGTGAAGTACTGGGTGCATGGATGGCATTAACCAAAACCACAGCCTGTATTTCATTGCTGCAGGTCGAGCTTTGGTCCACAGAGTGGTCTTATAGACAGTTTTAATAGATGTCTTCTGTTTCCTATTGCTTCAGAAACATTTAATTTTAAAAATAGTGTTGTTTGCCTTTTCCAGATGTGATGTCATAAATGCTAACATTCTCTTTATTTTCAATTAAAGGTACAATGAAAACTTTAAAACTGATCTTTTGGAAATGGGAATTGATAATTCTCTCATGTTAAGAAAAAGACTTTTATGCTTTTACCCAATACCTGTGGTAGTTTTGTCATCTTCATTTAAACAATTGTTTGACAAAAATAGTCCTTTTAAAGCTTTTTTTTCCTCTTTACTGCTGCATTCTACGATACAGGATGTTATAGGTCACTGCACAAAATACGTGAAATATTTATTGAAAAGGAGATATCTTTTATGTGCAGCTAGGGACATGCCATTTAATACAAAAAGAATTCTGTATGCTKGACAAAAGGCTTGATTTAGTTTTTGTTTGTTCCTGATTTTCATAACATTGATATGCTGGTGGTCGGGGGTAACCACCTGCTTCTTGGTGTTTCAAGCATTCTTGGTAGATGTCTCAGATCTTGTCAATCATCTTTTCTTTCTCTCTAGTTCAGGGGCAAAGTTCCTCCTCCGTGCGATCCTGTATGTAAGGTCATAGACTGGATTCTTGCCGTTTGGCACCAGCTCAACTCTTGCTTATCACGTCTAGGAGCACCTGAAGCACTTATGGGGCCAAAACACTTCTTCTCTTGTCCAGTGGTGCCTGGTCATGGCCAAGTGACAGTGAAGTAAGGTTTCTGTTTCCTATTTGACACCGTTAAATGACAGATGCCTATTGTGAATGTATCAACTACATATGTGAAAGTACCTGAGGGGAAAATGTAGGGAGGATGGGGGCAAACTTCCCTCAGTGGTGGCCATTGATAGGACAGGGGGCACAATGGGTACAAGTTGCAACACAGGCAGTTCCATCTCCAGGTGAGGAGGAACTTCCCGTGAAGGTGACAGAGCCCTGGCACAGGCTGCCCAGGGAGGTTGTGGAGTYTCCTTCTCTGGAGGTCTTCAAAACCTGCCTGGATGCCACCCTGTGCCACATGGTCTAGGTGCCCTTGCTGGAGCGGGAGGTTGGACTAGATGATCTCTAGAGGTCCCTTCCAACCTTGAACATTCTGTRATTCTGTGTGATACTTCCCCTCAAACCCATCCATTTGTCCCCAGTGTTATTTTCTGACACGGGAGCTCCAGGTATTACATCTATGGCAAAGGTACAATTCTGCACAGCCCCTTAAGGATTTTGTTCTGTGTACGAGGGAACAAGATTAAACTAAGATTCAGAATTCTGAGCTGGAAGCATTGGTAAAGTTTCCTTTTAAAGTCACACGTGAAGAGAAACCTGGAAAATTGGAATGCTTTTTCACCCATCATTTTTAAGCACACATACAGTTCCAAGGATAAGTTAGCTTCATAAGTAAGGCAGGTGTATATGTTTCAGCTCCTGTGTATCAACGGACCAACAGAACAGTTCAGTTAAGTCAAACGGGCATTTTTGCCTTTTTTTTATATGGATTTCTGCAAAGCTAAAACACAGCAGTATAACCTATAATTTCTTACAGATCTCTTTTGATACAAGCCACATCTTTCAGTCTTATTATCTTGCAAGAGGCATAAGGAGGACAAAAAAAAAAAAAAAAAAAAAAAAAAAAACAGAATTTGGTCTAAAACAGATGATCTCACTATCTGTTTTACTATCTCTTATAGCTTCAAGCTCAGCTTCACTCACTCCTGAAACTACTAACCTTTATCCTTTGAGAACCATAAGCTGTAACAAATAGCATTTATTTATTTCCAAAGATTCCTTTTTTTTCACTCCTGCACTTAAACAGTCTAATACTTATAATCTGTGAAAAAAGAAAAAATCCCTGAAGAGCCTTGTCTCACTGAATCAAATTTTTGTAATCAGACCCAGTCTCTTAGCCAGACAATCTGGAAAATCCTCAGCATCCTGGAAGCACAGTTCACCATAGATCAAATAAACAAAAGCAAAGCGAGGCAGCTGTACGAATAGAAAGCTCTTTTAAGCTGGACAAGTTTAGAAATGGAAGAAGACTATGATCATAACTGAATGGCTGCTTTTTCCCACCATGGCAGCAGATGGCCTAGGAGTGAACATCTGCTGTCATGGACACTTCTCTGTACTCTGGCAAAGGTGAATGTTCTCTTCTTCATGAAGACACATCTTTCTGGGATATTCTGGCTTTTATCRTTAAAATAGAAGGGATATGTTATGTGTCCTTATGTAAAGGAAGAAAAGTATCAGTTGATAAGTAGTTTTTCACATGATTCTGAAAAAAAATAGGTCAAATAATGAATACTAAAAAAAAARAAAAGAGAACTTTTCAATAAAATCACTTCCGCGCTCAAATAGAGTACAGTAAGTAGTCCAAAGTATTTATGCTTCTTGAAAGTACAAAATCCGTTATCCTAAATATAAAAATAGTGTGTTCAATAGTTTGTCCTGAAGCCAAAGAGTTTATTTAGCTATTTATTTTGCTTCTAGGTGGATGTCCAAGTTGTGGAATGCTGTGATAGCTCCCAGAGTTCAAGAAGCAATACTCTCCAGAGCCTCTGTAAAAAGACCATCTGTACCAGGACAAACAATAACCAAAAAAGGTCCTAGCCAAGGCCAACAAGCTGTTGTTAAAGCTGCTCTCAGCATCTTGTTAAATAAAGCTGTTCTACATGGCTGTCCTCTTCCCAGAACAGGTAACAGTGAACAGGCTAAAGGCAAGTAGTTGTACATTGTAATTCCAGTGGGGCTTAAACTGTTCAATGCCTTAAAAAATCAAACAAGAACTAAAGAAATAAAAATAATTTAAAAAAGGCAAACAAAAATCTTCTGCGAAATATAATTTTAGTTATGATGGAAGGWATATGGTTAAAAGTATTTGCTGTCAGTAACCTAACTAGTTGTATGAGCAGCCAAATAAGCAGCATTTGCAACAGTGAGATCTTCTTAACATTGTTCTGTTCTTGTTTCAGAACTAGATAATTATATAGCAGATTTCAAGGGAGGAAATTTCCCTTTATCCATGGTTTCAAACTACAAAAGCAGTGGGAAGAAAAGAGGTGAGAATGCTTCTTGGAGAAAAGTGAGCACAAGTCCTCGCAAAAAATCAGGCCACTTATCCTCCCAGTCGTGGAATAAGCAGGAGACAAATACTGAAGGTAAAGCTTTCCATTTGAATTCTGAAAAGTGATCTCATTCCAAAAACAATAAAGAGGTAGGGAGGAGAGTTCAGCTGGGTAGATGTGAATCTAAATTATTTTCATTTCGTTAATTAAAAATTCTAAATAAAACGGCATTTGTTTTTATGTTTGCTGGAAAAATTGTTCACATTTGTTATAATTATTTCTTTGTGACTGAGGCGGTTAGTTAATTCTTTCTTTGTTTGTACTAATGCTTTTCCTGTTTCATAATGGAGTGGGCTGTGGCGGAGGTGATGAGAAACTCAACAGTGGTTTTACCTCGTGTGACCTGGAACAGTGCTCTGTCATTCCTCTTCCCACTCCTGGAGGAAAGGAAGCTTCATTTGTGTAGAGTTTCCCTCCTCCATCTCTCAATTCTGCACTTTATTTACAGGACACACAGAAAAGTATTCTTTYTACATGTACTTTGTCTTCATTTCACAGTTATACTGCCTAAAATAAATGCATCCTCACACATTACACATCCATTGTTCTGTCATTTTAGGTTAGATGAAGGAAACTATTTAGAACTCCTGGAGTGGAAGGAAGATCTTTAAGTTGAAGATTTTTGTTTGTTTTTCATTTTGCAAAAGATACACGTGAAAAATGCTGTGTATCAAAAGATGCTGCAATTTTTTTAATAGGCTGCCGGTTGATATTAAGTACATTGCTTGGTGAGAAGAGTTAATATGATGGCATTGTGCATGTACATGAATGTGGTGGTAGTAYTATTAGTAACTGACACTTTTGAAATATCTTTTCATCTCAGCATCATAACCCATCAGCAGTTTAGTACKAGATAATGTGCAGTAGGATACAGTAATATTTGGGTATCTGCAGCAGGAATGAACATTCTTTACCATATACTTCTGTCTAGTTACAAAACTTTAAGAGTGCCATATCCACCTGCTGCATCCATCAGCAGGCTTCTAGGAGACACAATCAAATGGGTTATTTTGCTTTCATAAAATGGTTAGGGAGACAAGAATAAGAAAGGGTTATAGAGAGATTTTATTTGTTTGTTTGGTTTCAGTGTTTTAAGGACAGTATGATTCCAGCTTCAGTAACCTCATATAAAGAAGGGACTGATGCCTGGTACTTTTTACTGTTAAATAGAGCTGTTCATTTCCTCAGCTCGCTCTGAAAGGACAGAGTGCTTTTTCTGGCTTGCAGCACTGATGTCCCACTTTTGCTTCCTAGTTCTCCATTTGAATTCTGAACAAACCTAATCCTGCTTGAGATCCATGAGAACTAAAGAGCACTGAAGAGATCCAAGAGAACTAAAGTATCTTGTCCTCAGAGAGGCTCTTGGCCTTCGGATAATATCAGGGGGTACCCAGATACTCCCAAAGTTATTTGGGGATAAAGTAGTAAAAAACCAGGATGGTGAATTTGACTTTAAGAGCCTTTAAGACCTTTCACTTCTGACTAGCAGAATCAAATATTTTTTTCTGATAAGAAGTATGAGAAAAATCCCTGATTTTTCCTGACTTGCTGATAGCAATTTCTACTTGAGAGAACCAACRGGTGTGATTTAAGTGCCACGCTCAGAAGCTCACGTGCTGTTTTCCACARCAGAGCTCATGGGCTTCCACAGAAGCTCTTGGGCTGTTCCCACTTGGCCCTAGAGCTAATCTGAACTATTTCAAGGGATGTATTTTGATCTTTGACGGAGCCTACTGATGCAATAATCCTGCAAACGTGAATGTGTTTTCCATGTTCATAACAGATTTTGGACAGAAGAATTTGGCACGCACTGTAACACACTAAAAGTCAGTGTTTCTTTTGTGCAGGTGTGAAGGCTAAGACGATGTTACAACCAAACTGTAAAAAAAGGACTGTCTCCTCCAAGTAAGTTATAATCTCTTTTATTTTTAACACTTAGCAAATTTTATTGTAAATCAGAACATTATCTTGAATAGATTGAAGGTTTTGTATTTGATAGTGTTTTGGCTCCACACCTCTTGAGATAAATAATGCTTTTTAATTCTCCTTTCAAGGAGAAGATAATATTCGAGTCCTTTCACATAATTTTAGAATGCATTTTAGTAGTTCTGACSTTGCAGCAATGCATGTTCTTTATGTATCAGAATAGACTATGACTTAAGAGTATTATGTAAAACTTTTATTTTTCTGTGAAAAGCCAATCTTATGTTGTTTTTTTTTTTTTTCCCTGTAGTTATATTTAAAGAAAAAGGTCTTCTGGTTCTGTTAGCTTACTGAATAGCAATTCAAAATTATATGGTATATGCACATTAGTCTAAGTGATACTGAGTTTCTCAGAGAAGTTGGTGAATTAGCCAGAGGGAAGTATATTGGAGACTTCACTTCCAATMTGAAACTTGGACTCCACCATATTCACCAGCATACATAAAATAGTTTTGTTTACAGTATGCTTTTTTTTTCCCCTTTAAAACTCAAGTGGTCCTAACTAAAGTCCAGAAAAGGGGAGAGAAGTAAGATTAAGAGAGCAGGTTTTAAATATGTAGTTAGCAAAGTATCCACTGTTAGAATTTTAGAGAGACTACTCTAGAGTACAGAGAGTAGGACAGAAAATATGATATAACAAGTATTGCTGACAATAAATTAGATGTTTCTTTCTTTCCTGGAAAAAGTCATTTTGAAAGAATTAGCTCTTTTCCAGAAGTACATAATACGTTTTTTTATTCTCTATCCTAGTCTAATTTTAATTGTTTGCTCTCTTGGTTTTGTTTTGGTTTTTTTCCTAGATCTTCAGACAATGACAAAACCTTAAATCTAGAGCAAAGGCTGTCCCTAGGTTCTGATGATGAGGTAGATCTAGTGCAAGAACTTCAAAGTATGTGTTCCAGCAAATCRGAGCCTGATATAAGCAAGGTAAACACCGGGTGTTTAATAATTTACATCATTAGAATATACAACTGTTTGGTGTATATTTTAAATACATTTTTAATTTTCAAGTGCTGCATGAAGAAAATTATTCAGTTATTTTGAAATTAGCCAAAGTCAATAAGTAATAAATTATGGATTTGAGGGTGGGTGTGCTGGTTATGTTATTTCAAATTGCGCCTTGAGTGTCTTGTTGTGTGTGTGTGTGTGATATATATATGTATATATATATATGTATATATATATGTATATATATATCTTGCAGAGGAGGCTCAAATTTATGCATCATATATGTTAGAGCCAATAACTTGCGCTGCATTATTGTTCTCCATCTTTTCATGTTATCTCTTTTTCTCTTGGGAAACCATTCTACAGTCTTAAAAAAAGAAAGTTCATCCCAATATTCATTGCGTATTTGCCCTGTTTAATATAATCCCATTAGTCATCACAGAAAGTTTAAAGCCATACATCTATGTAAGGGATATTGAGTTTTGCTCTCCTGAGTAAGAAAGAATGAATGCAATTGGCAGCAGAAATTGGCCAATTTCTTTCCTTTCTTTTTAGTGGCAGAAGCAGGTTCTATATGTGGGGTAGGGAAAGGAGGCTGCCAAGAGTCATGTGGGACAAAGATCTAATCTGGATTGGCATCTGGGTAGCTATAGGGGGCCTATTGGAGCAGAAGGTGAAGGCTTGAATCTCTCACTTCCGTAACAGAAAGCATCCAGACATTCCTATTTATTCTTTGCCTTTCCCTTTTCTTAGCCCATGACAGCAGTCTGTGTCCACCCTGGGGTAGCTGGTCCGTGTCTTCTCACACATGGACTAAGCAAGTGGTCTTCTCCAGTCCTGGGCTATTGTCTGCTCAGGCTGTGCATTATGGGCTCTGGGATCTCCCTGGACCACAGTTCATTAAGTTTTACTCTGTGCATTCTGCTTATTCTTAGAAGTTAGCCAAGTTTTAATTAAAGAAAAAATGAGATGCTCRGAAAGAATTTTTAAAAAATAAATAAATAAACCTTTCACCTAAATCCTTTGTAAAGTGGTTTTTCTTTCAGTCCTTGCAGACCATGAGTCACATGTATAAAAGTTGGCCAGCTAATCCCTAGTCAGTTAGCAGAGATTTACTGTATCTCTCCTTCAGAGAATGGGATATGTTTAAAGAAATGGTAACCAACTTAAATTTGTTTTAATAACCTGTAAAATATAATACTGGGTTGCTGACAATTCAAGGAAACGTGGGTTAGATAAGGAAGAGAATAGATGTCACTGTCTTTTGTTCAGTTTCCTCATCATGGGTGGAACCATCCACGATTGGAATTTCTGCTGCTGATTCCCTAGCTGCCTAGCAGAGGCTTCTCTAAGGTGCTGCTGCATGTTGTGCTTTTTGTGACCCAATTTCAGGCTGGCATCAAAATGAGCCCTTCCACTCTCTATTTTGCCCTTTCTCTGTATGTTCCTGTTGCCTCTAGTATGTTGAGATTGAACATTTTGCAATTTTACAGTGAATTGGGTCAGCTTTCCCCAGCATAAAACATGCAGTTTTCAGAGGCAAGAGAAAGCTGATCATACAAGATCTGCTGGTGCTTGGTCACTAGCATTGATGGAAAATAGGATGAAAGAAACATATGGTAGGAGGAGAATAGGATMACTTCTTTGGAGGACATCCCTTGAGGCAGATAATATTCAATGTGAAACTGCCCTTTAACGCCACTGAATGTACTGCCTGGGAAATGACAGTAGCCAATATTAAGTCAATCTCTTTGCTACTTCCCCAAGAGTAAAGATATATTGATCATTCTTCAGGTATTTGTACATTGCATGGAGCAGAAATTATATGTCAGTCAAGCCAAGACTCCGAAACTTGGCAAGCTGAGATAATTTGTGCTGTGAGTGATAAAAAAAAAAAAAAAAAAAAAAAAATCACTATTTTCTCATTTTAGATTGCAGATTCTAAGGATGAGCTATTGATGTTCAATAGCTCCCAGAACAATCCTGTATATTCAGCAAGTGATACCAACTCAAGTGAAACAGCATCACAAAAGGTAGGTGAACGGCTGTCAAGGTAGGGACAGAGAACATGCCTAAAGTTTCACTAAAATCCAAACTCCTGAACGAATCCAAAAGAATGAGTGCTGCAGTGCCTCATTTATTGCAAGAATAAGTCATTATTATGAAGGGTATGATTCTTAGAAAACTTACTGGACGTGCTATGCCAAGTTTTATTGCATTTGCCTCAGTGGAAACTGAAGATTTAGCAAACAGTGGATACACTGGCTCACAGTTTTTGTTTACAGAAAACCATCTCCCTAGGCTAGCTATTGTTAACATTCCTTCAACAGTAAAAGTTATTTGCATCATATTTTTACAGAGATGAAAGCTCTAAAATGCCCATTTTCAATATTTTTTTTTAATGCTTAAAACTATTTAATGTTTGTAAAARTTCAAAGCAGTTTTTAAAAAAATCTTAATGTGAAAATGCTTATGGTTTATTTTTGTACCATCTTTCATCATGATTACTCATATATGATTTCAAGCCACAGTTTTGGGGAGGATTTTTATATAAGTAGAATTGAGCTGCTCTGACTACAAAACTCTCTCACCAGTAGAAATTTTGAGAAGATACGRTATTACCAGAATTTGTAAATGGAAGGATTTCCCTTTTCTAAAAAGGTTATGTCTGCTTTCCTCCCTAACTAATGTAATAATTGCTTTCTCTCTTTTTTCATTTTCCCTTTTCTGTCTTGCTCCTCTGGAGTACTGAACCAGGAGAGGGCTTCCCAGTGCACAGCTCATGTGCCCTTAGCCAGCTCAGAGCCTGCCATGCAAGTTCCCTCAGAAGCACTAGTATCTCTGAAGGACAATCCAGACCCTTTTATCTGATTGTGATAAATTGTTTTCTGGAGCTAGTCTCTCTTTCCTTAACTAAGAAGAGAAGATACCTAGAAAATAGTTTTATTGTGCACATAAGCCTTGAAGAGCTAATGGTGGGTGAGATGACTTATTGTCCTTACTGTATCTATTCATATTCAGATATTTTAAAAGTTAGATTATTTTCTGTAATCTGTAATTTTACCTAAAGTCCAGAAAGTAATCTCCACTGAATGGAAACAATTTTAACTTTACAATTTTAACCTTTAAACCTTGAGTAGGGCTTGCTTACCTTGCTCAATACTTAATTACTTAGACTAAAACTTAATTAGTAATTACTTTTCAGTGTTTCTCTAAACATATTAATTAGAAACATTGCAGATCAGAGCTTCACCTAGTAGCAATATAGCTTGTATCACATAGTACCATTGTAGCCTATATAATTTGATAAATTTGCTGAGCTGTTCATTCCTAATGTAAATTTTTTTCGAAGTATTATTTTTCCTCCTTCAAACTCCTTTTCAGTAAGAAATATTGGCTAAAATAAGGGAAATGCAATCCAAGGGTCTACTACAGGGGAAAGAGGTCTAACAGACTGRCAGGGTTTTTTTTCTAGATTTAGTCATTACTTAATGTGACCAAGGTGTGGCAAAGAAAGTTTATGTATAGACAGAAAAAATACAACAAATTTATCAAAAATGTAGAAGGGAGTCTGAATTTAGGAATTTGGGACTAAAAGTCAAGATTTAGAGGCAATTGTGTATGCTGGAAAATCTCCTCTCTCAGGGAGTGTTGGATATTAGAAAAGACTCTTTCTCCAAAAGTAAATAGAATTATATAGGCAACAGAAACAGACTTAATAATGCATGGCCAGAGAAGATAATCTTATCATGAGGAATGTGAGAAATAATTTTAAATACTGTTTTGACTGTTTGGAAAAAAAATAAAGTTTTCAAGCATGTGAAGGAAAAAAGAGAACAATGATGAGAGATTTAAAAAAAAAAAAAAAAAAAAAAAAAAAAAAGCTGTGACATGCGACCCAAAGGAATATGTAGAGTTAAGGATGATAATAACAAATAGACAATGATAATAGTTGGGTTTCATGCCACCAATCTTTAAATTAAAAGCAGTAGCTGATGCTGAAAATGAACATGTGTTTTAATAGAGCTTCTCAGAGAGTGATTTAGATGAAGCTGAAACTGAAAGCTTGTGAAAAGAGGCATCTCTTGTGAAAGGTATATATATCAGTGACCATTATCAAACGGTCTTTCTCCTTGACTGTAAAGAAACAAAAGGTGACAACATATCTGAGTTTGGCACATCGGGTGCCAAATTTGGGTGCACCTGAATTTCAGTGGGGTGAATCCAGTTTTTAATAATGTAGCTCACAAGTGTACATAACTTGAGAGGCTGAAATCATATTTATAATAAAATCTGTAATAAATATAAGGGTGTCATTAAACTGTAGGAAGCTATAACTAAAAAGCATTCTGTGGGGGAGGGAGTGTTTGGTTTTTTCAGGTCTAACTGCAATAATTGTTTATTCAGATAAAAATCTTTCTTTTACTCATAGGATGGAATCCGTCCTCTCAGCAGCAGTCGAACTGTGGAAAGCAGCAACAGTAAATCAAAGACAGAGTTGGGTGTTTCAAGGGTTAAATCTTTTCTTCCTGTGCCTAGGAGTAAAGTCACCCAGCCTTCTMAGAATACTAAAAAAAAGCAGCAGCAGTAATACAAGGCAAATAGCGGCAGATAACACAAAAAGAGAGATTTGGAATTTGCACAAAAAAAAGAACAAGCAGAAAAACCTAAAAAATAAATCTGCCAGCCATACAGTTTTCTCAGTGTTCACATAATCATTATTGCAAAGAATCAAGTACTCAAATATGTAAATACTTTTTAAAAATAAACTGTTTCCCTGTAATGTAAAGTGTGTACAGGACCACAGCTTTATTTGTATATATACATATATATATATATCAGCTGAAATTATATTGATTTCAAGTGCAGAAATGGGCAGTTTTGTCACTTTCATAATTTTTTTATTATGAAAATGGTTCTTGTTTAAATAATGATATTCYGGAGTATTATCACAGAATTTTGTTTATGTATATACTGTACATAAATATATTCTATTAAGTTCATATGTTAAACAGCATTCAGATGAGTTGCACAATATGTACAGTAATGGCTTAAAGCTAATGTACATGCATTTTAAAGACATGTTTTTATCTTCACTTAATGAAAAATTAGTGGAATGTGGCAATAACTAAAATGATTGGAAATGCAGATCAACTACTTTCAGCTACAAGCCATATTAAGTATTTTGATTTCCCCATCATCTGCCTGCTGAATTGTGATTCTGTTTCTCCCAAGCTTATCTTCATCTGAAATGTCATGAATTTGCATTATACCTCTTACTTTTTAGAAAAGGAAAGAGATAGAGGAATTAAAATGCAATAAAAGTTATTTTTTTCTCAGACTCATATTCTTTAATATAATTGAAGAAAATGTGGTCATTTAATAACTTTTTCATGTACATCATAAAACTTTTAGATGTTTTCATTAAAATTTTTAAAGTATCCAGGAAATAATAGCATTTTACAGGAAGAAATTTTACTGAAAAGGAATTACAGCACAAGCTTAACTACATTATTATTCAGAGATAATGTAGTAGCAATAACAGGAGTTACTATGTAATTATCATTTTTTTAATCGTAGATTTAAGATATAATTGCTATGAAATTATATTTGGGTTGCAGACTTTTTTTTCCCACGCACACACTCTACAAAGGTGGACCATTTTCCCCTAAGGAAGACTATATCTGAAGGGAATATTTCCCCAGTGTCTCCTAACAGTAGCCAGTTGGTGAATTCTGTTCATGTGAGTACACTCACTGGCTAGATACCTCATCTGATGGAGAAAAAATGGATAGTATTCTTAAGATCAGACTTGGATGTCCTCTGATGAGTTATCAGGAGATGGCTTTGAGAGGTGTGGGCAGTATGGACACGGACATGGCCATGCCTACCCTCTCCAAACCTGCTTTTTTCTCCGTTCTGGAAAGGTTTACGTCAGTGTATCCTAACACTTTCCTTATGTGTAAGGCAGTCATCCCAAACTCATGTCAATAAAATTTTTGTACCTGCATATTGTCTGTCTTCCTATCTTTTAGTTTGTATGTTTGTGCTATCTGTTTAGATTTAAGTATTGGAAGGGKTTTTTTTAATGGTTCCCCTTATGGTGCATTTAGAAAGCACCATGTCCTTCCATAGTTACTRCTTAAAACTTCCATTTCTTATTTGATGACAGTGGTTGAGTATATCTGAATTTGGATTGAGGTGCATTTTCTCTTTATTCCCTCATTTCATGCTTAATTTTGGTGCTGAAAAGTGATGTGCTTCTTTCTACAATCGCTTCTGAGCAGTGAGAGATGGCGTAGGTCAGAGAAATGGGTCTCAGCAGTTTGCACCCTCCATGCTGAAGCAATGTGAGGGCAGCTTGTGTGAGAAGCTCTCATGTTGAAAAAGTTTCTGGTAGCAATCACACAAGATGCAACATCAGGCTTTATCATCTCTTGTAAATCATTGGTTTTTTTAAAGGTATAAGAGAAGAAAAATCCTGATGAGATCCTCAGCTAAATTTGTTCAGCATTGAGGATGTACCGTAGGAATGTCAGACCTCATTTAGATCAAGAATTAGTGCTACTGTGTGGGAAGATCTTAGGCACAGTGTCCTACCGCATGTTTTAAATATATATTTAGACTCAGTRTATTATCTGTGAGAATCAGAGGGAATCAGAAATCTTCTGTGCTGTACTTTGAGTGAAAAAGCTACAGAAGACTGAATAACTAACTCATCTGTTCATTGTTTGAAAGAAAAGTCTCTGTTGCTAAATTTAGCTTTGCCTTTCAATCTTCCCATTATCCCCTTGTTTCAGCCTGCTGTCCTAATCTCTCTCCATCTGCATCCTTCATCTGGATGACTTCTTGCTTCTCTTTGCTGTCATTTGTTTTGTCGTTCTTCCAGTTCAGCACAATCTGTGAACTTCGTACATCTTTAACCTCAGTATTTGGCAGCTCTCCTAATTGAATCTATCTCCTGTAGTGTCTGCCAAGCTCTCTGTTTAGGCCACAGCATCTCCTGCCCACAAAGGGAGAGAAGCACGTGGCCCCAATAAAATAGTTTGGACGTGAACATACTGGCCTCTCCGCTACTCTATCATTTTGCTGGTGCCTGTGCAGAAGCAGGGCAAGGCTCTGCTYATACATTGAAAGTTTGGCTAAATCTCCTGCCTCTTCTTGTGACACTGTAAGCAGCACTACTCATATGTTACGTGTTGCTGTATTAACTACTCTCATTTTGGGCTTRTAAAGGGCATTTTTTTCCCCATTCCTTCTTATCTCTTAGGGCTAGAGGGTAAAAAATGTGCTATCTGCAGGGAGTCACACTACTTCCCAATGATACAGACCACATACAGTTCTGAATGGACCTCTAAAAATAAAGTTTAATTTAGAATTAATCCTAATGTGAAGAAATGTTTTAGAAGGTACCATTTCCACRAACTGCTGCATTTAAACCCAACAGCTAAACCTGTTCCTCTAGCAGCACAGAAATGGAGGTGAGGCCCGGCGAGGGAGAGAGGGTGGAAACGCAGAGCGCCCGCTCCTGTTGGGCAGCTCTGACGTGGGGTAACAGGCTGGGCCCTGGGGAAACGGGACAGGAGAAAATTACAGACCCTGCAAATAGAGATTTCCTGGATAAAATGCTAAAGCTGATTCAGTCACCAGTTAAGCAAAAATGGGGGTTTTTTTTTTGCAATATCAGGCTCATTTAAGCCCAGTTATATACCCAGTAATTCCTGCAGTGCTTGCATTAGTTGCTTGCTAATGATGATTATCAAGCTCCAGTGTGCTCAATGGCATTTTGTTTAGGCTAATCCTGCCTGGCCACTTCTGTCCCAAGAGCTTCTTAGTGCAGTGTCAGCAGTTTTGCCCCTTCTCCCTYTGGTCTTAAGGAGAGCTGCAGATTTTATGCAAAGTAATTTCACTCTGTTTTTTATTTTTTGGCTTCTTCCCAGTCAGCTGTAAATCACCATATGTAGTACTAGATCTGGAGTGGACRCACTCTTTTCTTGAATCACCCTCCTGCTCAACTTAAAGCAGTATAGGTGTATATTTTTAATAAGAAAATGCTTGTCAAGGGCCTGTCCTTTTTTTGTATCTCATTGCTTTATCAAATGTAGGTCTAGCATGTTAAAAAAAAAACCTGCTTTAAATAATGCTCAGCCTGTGTTTTTGAAGGTCAATGGTGTTCATTCTTTTCTTCCAATATACTTGAGCTTTGTGCTCCTTTCTTTTACCCCTCCAGTGCTCTATTTTCCACCAGAACAGTGTGTGCAACTTCCCAACTTAGCTTCAAGCAGATCGCCCTGGGCGCTGTTGCCCAGCTGACAACAAGTACAAGAGTGATTGCTCGCGAACGTGCCGTGCTCCTCTTGACCTTTGCTGCGAAGCAGATGGTCTCCTCCTCCTCCTCCTCCTCATTATGGAGGCTGGTACCAACGTACCTACTGTTCCCATCTGAGCTCCAAGTAGTTTAAGTAGTGTTCCTAGATTGAAAAAAAAAAAAAAAGAAAAGAAATAGGACACCCTCCTCCTTTATTTTCAAAGAAAGGAGAAATTCAGCAGCATCTTGCTTAGGGTCTTTAGGGAAAAATGGGTGATGGTAGCCAGCAGCTACAAGCTCATAGAAGGGCTGTGGCCTAAAGCTGCTCAGAAGGGAGTGCTGGGCTCTGAGTCCTACTGGGGTTATCAGCAACTGTGTCAGCAACTCCTGGCTCCCACTATCACCCCTCCATGCACTTGTTGTTTTTACCTTTTTCCTATCTTAAGCTGTCCCTATGTTGTCTCTGTCCCACCCCTCACCTCTAAACTAACTCTACTTAGGAGCAACCAACAATAATAATGTCAATGTTTGGACGTGCTTTGAAGTACACACTGGTCTTGACGGTGCTGTGGTTCTTCAGCTCATTCCCTGCTTTCCGTTCGTTTAGCCGGGATCTTCTCTCCGGCAGTGTGTGTCCACCCCGCTGCGCAGCACCCGGGGACAGAAGCAGCTGCTACCTGGGCTGCTCCTGGGCTCTGACCCCAGCTCAGCCCCACTCGCACCCCATAGCAGCTCCAGGCTGTCCCGGAGGAAAGGGGGATGTGAGCGGRTCGGGGTGGGAGGAAGGCAGGACAGGAGAGGGAGGCTGCTTGAATCGGCACCTGGCTCCTGCTCCTCACAACAGTCAAGCAGAGCTTGGGGCAGAGGGAGGAAGCGGCAGAGGAGGGGCTCACGGAGAGCCCGAACCCTGATGCCAGCAGCACCGACGTGCGCCATGGCTGTCTCTGCATGTCACATAATGGAGTTTATTTTCACGACCTATGCGCGGTTTCTGAGCAGAAGGAGACCCTCCATGCAGCGGCGCTACCCGGGACTGGGGGTGCCCCGCAGAGCCCCC